TATCTCTTAAATTCGATAGAGTAGTGACTTTTATGGCTATCGAGGATTAAGAGATAATAAGAACTAATTAATTAATTAGTTATATGCCGGTTAAAGTACTTAAGCTACTCGAGACCGGTCTCATTATCGGTCTAGCTATTTTAGGTCATTGTAATAGCCTAATCGCCCAGGAGGTTGCTTTCTTAGTACTAGTTAGCGAGGTAATATTAGCCCGCGCTGATAATAAACGGCGGGATTGACTAGCCTTCCGTATTGATCGCTTAGATTATTATAATCTATTCCTAATTTCTAGGCTATATTGATTTTGGCTTTGAATGCCTTTCTGAGCCTATGATAACTATTCCGCTTATAATTATGCCTATAAGGAAGCTAATCTCGTTAAAGTTATAAATATTATCTAATTAGATATTATACTTCGCGATTATGTTTGCTATAAGCTAAAATTAATCGCGGATAATAATTAGATCTTCGCACTTAGCTCTCTGGTAGTTATATTTCTAAAAAAAATATGTCTTAAGCTCTAGGTGTCGCTTAACGAAGTTATAAGCCTAGTATATACTAACTAGTAATACGTCGCGGCCGGTAAGTAATTAATTAGCTATATCTTTAATACTACGTAGCCGTAGGGGAAATCCTCGCGAATCTAGGTCGAGGATAAAGTAAATAAGGATATCTTCTTCTAGATTAAATAACTTACGTGAATTAGGGATAATATTGCGTCGAGACTGGATGCCTTATTGCCGGCGATATAAGGTATAATAGTAAACTATGTATATCGCTGCGGCGCGTCGGATACTTAGTTTTAGGTTATTTTGGAGGGCTTAAAGAGCTAGAAGAATTCTAGCTTTAGTATTAGAGCTTAATATGCTAGGTGGTTAAGAATTAATTAATTAAATAAAGAAGATATAAGGTAAGGGATTTTTGTGACACTTGCTTATCTGTGATACTCGCTTATTATATATGTTATCTTAGTTTAAGATAATTATTATTTAATATTTTTTACTATTGTAACTACTAAGACTTCGATAGCGATATTTAATCCTCGCTTTAGGTAGTATAAATTTAGCATATAATTATTTAATATTTTAAGAGATATTAAGTAAGTTTTAAGGGTAATTAAAATATAAATAAATATAATATACTTAGTATAATTATAATAGCTAGGTTTAATATATTAGTTATATTATAAAATAGTAATAATTTAGTCTTTTATATTATTTAATATACCCCTTAGGTTTTTATAACTAGTGCCCTTTATATATAATTATAATATTATTATAAATATAAATAAATAAAGTAAAAAAGTTAAGTAATTATAAGATAGACTAGTAATATTTATAATAGGAGCTTATATAATTAAAGATAGAGCTAGGAGAGTTTAAGAATACTTAATTTAAGAGCTATAATTAAATACTTTTACTTAGCTAGTAATTAAAAATTCTTATAAGCTTCGCTTAAATAAACTAATATTCTTTCTTATTTTATAACCTTTTCTCTTTTTTACTAACTTTAGCTTATTAATAAATCATAGCCTTAACTATCTCTGTTTCTTTTCTTTATTACCTTTTTACTTTTTTATTCTTTTACCTCTCTACCTTTACAGCTTTTTTAATAAAAATAACTAGAGAATAGCTAGAAGGCAACCAGAGAATAACAAGAGAATAACAAGAGAATAATAAGAGAATAATAAGAGAAGTATTAAATATAGCCCAAAGAGGCCTTAGTAAGTAAATTAATGCCTCTTTTTATTTCCTCTCTTTGCTTGCTCTAGATATCTTTATTTCTTCCTCGTCTTCCACTCTCTATTATCTTCCTCTTAACCATATCCACCCTCGTCGACTCATAAGTAAGCAGACATCTCTCTCTCATTGTATCACTCTTTATACTCTGCCTCTTCACACTCTGCCTCTTTGAACCCCCCACTCTCTGACGCCATCACCGAAGACCTCATTTCTCTCCGCTTGCCTGGCTCTCTCCAACATGGTGCCGCCAGTTGTGAAGCTCCCCTTATCCACACTGAGTTGCGAAACGGCATGCTCGGCGGTGTAGTCAACAGAGCGGGCATGGAGATCTGGCACCCCCAGCGTCCAAGCGTGGCCCCTGACGCTTCTATGCCCAGGGCCATGGTGAGCGCACCCGTTGAGCATACAAAGCTCTTGGCTCTATTTCCCTTTAGCGGGAGCTTTTTAATCATATCACACAATTCCTGGAGGGAGAGGGGGGTAACGAATGATCATGCAGTAGGGACTGAGAGAACTGGTGATGAGACCGAGTTACGCCTGCGTGGCAGAGACACCCACACTATTAAACTCTTGGGATGATATTATGACAGTAGTAAGGAAGAAGGAGAGTAGTTTTAGCGAAACTCAGACTAAATTTATACTGTAGGCTTCTCTTTCTATGATATCTCTTAGATCGTCCATCTCATCTTGAACGTATCCCACATGGTGACCATAGACTTCGCAGACAGGAATGAGATGACGCAGACTCTGTTTCTAACCCAGGCGTAAAAACGCTTAGCGTCTTTCTTACTTGGTTCTGATGAGGGTATGAAATGGAGCTGCATTTGACAGTATGCCCTATGGCCCGCTGATGCTTTTGCCCAACATCAGGCAATTCTCATGAAGCACAGTATTTCTCCCGGCAATGTGGTTCGGGGGCTGTGCGCCCACGCGGATCAAACCAGTATCATCTACGGTAGATGGCACGGTTTGGACAACCTCCCCAGACCCCTCGAACCCGAGGTCGACCATGGTTTCGCGGCTGCTAGGTTCATCATTTTCGTTCTTGGGAACTTCATCTTCTCGAACTGAAGGACGATTTTGGGGTATCGGAAGCGGGGTTGATCATCTTCATTTTTGGGTGCCTCCTCTTCAGAGTCGTCATCATCAGTCCAACTGTAACCGGAATCTTCGAAGTTTTCCACCTTGAACACGGGTTCGTAGGCGAATTGGCGGCGTTTTTTGACGGACGTTGAGATGGGTGACTCGTTCCTCCCAATCAAGGGACTCGGGAGGTCTCTGCCTACCTGGTCAGCAGCTGCTTGAAGCAATGATTTGGACACCGTAACTGACCTTTGCGTTTCCTGCCACGCGTATCCGTCGTTGAAACCGGCATCTTTGGGACAACACAGAGAATAGGGAAGCCCCTAAGAGAGAACTTCTCTTCGAGATTGAATGTGAACACGAGCCAATGGGTACCTGGAGCGAAAGACGAGGGACGAGAGCCGGCAGGGTAGTTGAAGGAGTTGAGGCTGGCCAGCCAAGGGAGGCAGAGTTGGTAGATTCTGGGGCTGGGAGGAACCAGAAGGCAATCGGAGGTGCCAGACGAGGGACAAGAGCCGAAGAGGGATAACGTCGTGTCAGGATGTCATGAGGAGAAGTGGACTGAAAATGGACGTGAGAGTTGCGGAAGAAGAGAGGGGAAAAAGAAGAGAAGGAGAAATTTGTGTCGTGACCAAGAGAGTGTCGTTTTGTGGAAGGCATTGTAAAAAGGAAGGTGCCTAGCTGGGGTGAGGCCCAGCTGAGGAAGGAGCGAGCCATTCGCATCACCAGTGTCGGCGCCACTCCAACTCCTCTATGACGAGAATCGCAAGTTTCTGGGCGATAAAATTTTGATTGCCTGAAGAAGAAAAGTGCAGTGGTCTTGGTTGGCAGAAGGTCGATTTGTTGGCAAATGGAAAGCTTTCATTGTCGCATGAAGAGCGCTGTGTTAGCATTGGGATATGATGCTATCATGTGTTCTTTGTTGTAGTTGAAGTCCGGCCCTTGATGGGATAAATGAGCCAGAGGATGATCGCATGAATAGAGAGATTAATGGGAAGAGCGCTGCTTATCTCCCATGTGCTGGGTCGTTGTGGATAATTCCACCTTCCATGGCAGATGAGCGTGGGGTTGATTACAGAGCAACATGGCGATGGTAATAAAGATGTATGTCAATGATGTGAAATGTGATGAGCGAATGCTGTCAGAAATTCATCAGACATGCCAGAGGGGCACGAGGCAAGGCCCTGACGAAGGGCAAAAAGAGGATGAGGGCATCGCCAGATTGAGGGTGACGTACTACTACCAACTAACCACAGTCACAGCAAGCCGTACTGAGTCCTTATCCTGCTTGCACAGACGGAGAGGTCACATGAACAATGTAAGCAGTGATTCACTGCCTATCATCAGTGTTGATAAATCTCAAAGCGACGTACCTCCAACCTGAACTCAACCATTGCATTAAACCTCTCGTTCCCTTGCCGTTCATAAACGCAAACCACATCGGGCTCTCTCGTCTTTCACAAGCGATAGCTCCTCCAGCTCCTTCGCCCTTTCACAGCCATCGGCTTCTTAGGCTCCCTCGCCTTTCACAAGCATTAGCACTGCGAAAACATAAGAACTTAACTCACAACGAGCCAACCAGATTGCATCATCCTCGAATACCTCTCTTTTCACCAAGGGAGAAAAAATATCCCATTATCCTTCGTATGTTGTTCCCTGTGTATTTCTAGCCATTATCTAGGACTCCTGGATAGGTAGCTAACAGCATATTCTTTCAGCACTCACCCCGTCAACAATTTCTCCTGTCACCTTCTAAGGAGCTCGCCACCTACGCACAGCAAGTGAGGATGCGACAATGGGGCTCTAGGAAGAGCAATAGTATCAGAGCCTCACCTTTGAGGAGATGCTTGTTGATTAGGTGCATGTTGGGAACCTGGGCTTCTCCCCTGGGTTGGACTCGGACGAAGATAAGGCCGAGTGCTTTTTTCATTCCCGATGTGCCAATTCAACGCCCGACGACAATCCAGTGAGAGTGGGCCAGCTTTGGAGTTCATTTCATGTCCCGTGCCTTTGTCATCTTCAAGATTAATGCTGTGATCTGACTCGACAATGGACGCGGGCGTAGAACTGGCGCCAAGATGTCGTCGTGAAATACTATAATAACCGTCACATTGGCATCTATCATACATCAACTACCCAAGGGTGACTGAGGAATTTCCAACTCCTACATAACTTTCATCCAAGATTCGAAAACTGCTGCATGATTAGATAGTGCTTCAAGTAAAGGTCTGGCTTGTTGCTTACATTCTCTGGAGAGTTAGTGATTTCTTCAAAAGCTTGAAGCGACTCGAATCCCATGGCAGCCAGCGGCTCAGTGCCATCATCCACAACCTATACCATTAGCAAAACTCCTAAAGATACAGATAGACTAAACTTACCCAGCCCAAAACAACCTTGGCTGCCTTGTGACCCTTGCTCTGGCGGACACCCATGAGTGCCAAGCCTTGCAAAACGAGGTTTGACTGTGGCATTGCTGGGACAATTGGTGCAAGGATACCACTGATGTCCTCAGTATGGGACAACAGAGCTGGTACGTGTGTTGCCAGAGAGCCATGTTGTTTCGAGATAATAATAGTGCCGAGTAGATTGCCCGTCGCGTCCTTTGCACGCACAATTCCGCATGACTTGTTGTCGGATAGAGCGTATCGATACAGCTCAAGGATCTCTGCATTGGCGTGCGTACGAACGTGGCTAAGGACACCGTCCCCGTTGTCCAGACCGTGAATCAGGTCAAAGCTGATGTTGGCCCGTTGTATGCTCTGTAGTAGACCCTCTGGGGCAGACCAGTTGGGGAGGTCTTGGATAATCATGTTGGTGACTCTTCGAGGGAATTGCACATCCCAGCCGCTGTTTGAGAACCACTCCTTGACGGTATTCACCTCAATGTCGACGGGGATTCCCAGGAAGACGCCAGGAAAGGCAGAGCCAAGTTGGACCTTTTTGATACCGCGCCGCTGCATGAGACTCCTGAGCGCCCGCCGATGGAGGGATCTACCGATGGATACATCCCGTTTAGAAGGATCAACAAAGATCGCTGCCAAGATGCCAACTCCGTGCAAAAAGTAGGTGGCAGCGAAGCCATACAGAGCGCCTGTGCTGCTGTTTCTCACAACCACGTGAGCCTCAGCGATGTTGGGGTTCTTGAGTTGAAAGGTTGCAGCAGTTGTGGTCCGTAGGAATTGTAGATCTGGTGCACTTGCTCGGTGGATAGCTCGTATAAGATCTTCTAGGCCAGAGGCATCACGGTCTGTGTGATACTCCTCAACGAGCCAGTGTTGTCTTGATTTGAGGACCTTCTTGCTCTTCCTCAAGGTGCCCGGTAGGGTCCCAAGAGGTGTAATATCTCCCACAAGTGCCCTTGCAAGAGCGTGCAGAGCGTTCTCCGTAAAGTCAAAGGTGCAGAGGTACGTGCCAATTGACTTGTCCATGGCAAAGTCGTAGGGTGAACTGACTGCCACCACGATCAACTGCTTCTTCTGGCCTCTACTCCGAAGCATCGCGCACATCATGTCGACGTGCTTGGTAAAGCCAGCTTGGTAGAGATTTCGGTTGGCATCAGCCGTGACAATAATGATACAAGATGCCCTATGGATCAAGTTTTCATGCACTACGTTAATTAGCAAATGGTACTCTACCAAGGCTGGAAGCCATCTCACCTGGGCGTACTCCATTCGCTGTATAGCTGGTATGGAGCAACTTTTCGTTGCGGGCTCGCGCAAGAGATTTACCAAACTCTCGAAACACACCCTCTCCGCTCATGATGGCGCTGCGGTCTCGGTCATTATGTGCCCATATGTGGTGAGAACCCCACGCTTGGCTTTGGTCGCCCTTGGTACTGAGGAGCTTTTTGGTCAGAGAGGATGCGGGAAGTGGCTTGACCAAGGGCGTGAGTAGAAGTAATTCTTCTCCTGGGTGCATTGAGGCAGAGAGGGGGAGTAGCTTCTCCTTGTCCCGAATGACAGTGATGGAGTCATCATAGGCGCGGAGTGATAGGGCAAGATGGGATGGGTGAAGTTGAGAGAGGAGGGAAATGCCTGGAGGGTTCAGTGCCTTGTTCCAAGATGTGCAAGTTGACTTGAGCTGAAGAACTCTCCTCAGCGAAGTAAAGATTCTCTCCTTGGTGATGATGCCGTTCTCGTAGCCCAGTTTCAATCCCTTGATAGCTTCGAGTTGAACATCGTAGGCACGGCAGAGGAGGACCAGATCACAGCCCGCCTCCACTGCCATGACAACACCGTTCTGTACACCAAGTTCATGACTGAGGGCCTCCATCTCCAAGCATTCTGAGATGGCAACGCCGTTGAAACCGAGCTCATCGCGGAGCAGGTCATCCACCACTTGGTCGGATAGACAAGCATGGCTCACGCTCATGGACGGGTTGGATATACCGCAGCCCCCGATGAACATGGCATCCAACTTGCCAGACCCAATGGCGTTTCGGAAGGGAACCAGAGCACTTATGCTCAGTTCTTCCAGTGTTTGGGTAATAATGGGAACATCTAGATTTGAACCAAGAAAGTCCAAGTTTCCATATGAAGGGAAGTGTTTCCCGCAGGAAGCTATCCCTGCATCACGGATTCCTCTCAGGGCAGCAAGACCATACTGAGATACTTCCTGCGGGTCGTCTCCCGTTGCGCGAACTCCCAGAGGTTGGTAGCGAGCGTTGTTCAAGACATCAAGAACTGGACCTAGCATGAGGTTCACACCACAAGCAGAGATCTCAGTTGCCGTAGCTTTGGTGACTTCATAGGCAAGGTCTGCTCGACCTGTGGCCGCAACTCCCATTGCACTTGGGAATTGACAGACATAGTCCTCGTCAAATAGACTGTTGACGCCCCCATTCTCTTGGTCAAGAGCAATCAACAGGGGTTGTGGATGACCCGCATTCTTGGCGATAGTCTGTAGTTCTTGAACAAGTTCAGCAGTTTGTTGGGCAGCTTCAAAAGGTCAGCATGGCTCATTGATTATGGGCAGATGGCTGGCAAGTGACTCACACTTGAGGTTCTTGGCAGTGAGGATAATGGAGCCGAGATGGTGATCCTCGATAAGGCTCCTGATCTGGGGGGTGACTTCAGTGCCATCCCAACCCATAATCAGGATCTGCCCAATGGCACTACGAGCAACCAGTTAGCATGAGTGGCCCAGACATTCATTGGCAATGACATCTCGCTGCACTCCTCCGAGTGTCGGAGCCGAAGGTGGAGGCCCCTTGACACTTGACAGCTGCCGTTGGAACCGGACGGACTCCTCGGAGGGCCGGAGCGGAGCTGTGGGTTGGTGGTGGTGGTTGGAGCTGGAGGCTTGGAGTGGGTACGTACCGGTCGAGATCCTGCCATATCGGATCCAGGTCGGCGTCGTCATTGCTATGGGCCATGGTCTGTGGGCGGCGGTGACGATGATGCCTCGTCACATGATACTTGCTTCTTCTCTGGTGCCGGTTGCTGCGATCGCCCCTCAACGTCCCCGTCGTCGGCGTGTGCTTGAGGTAACGATGCGATGCATTGCTGTAGTCTTCGCTCGAGGATGAGGAGGATGCTGACCCGGGAGGGGCCATGGCTGCTAAACTTCGGTAAACGGGAATGGCGCGTCCTGGTTGGCTGAGGCCCGAGGATACCTTGTGTCGGACTGGGTGGGGTTGTCAGGTTGTCTTATGGCCGTTGCTCGGTGATCATGGGTTGCGCCCCATGAGTTAACGTTACATGAACAATGACAGCAACTGAGGGTCGGCGGCAACAGGACGGCGATGCCATGCAGTGGCCGGTTTCACGTTGTGTCGACTCGAGACAGATCCGAAAAGGTAAGGATGAATGTTGCTCTTGGTCTCGGATGGACGAATGCCACGCTCTTGTATCCAGACAGTCGGCTCCATCGATACCCCGGTCTATCAACAAGAGTCTGGAAGGGGAACCATACCAGGTCGACGACTGCCTTGTTGTGACTCGGGTCTCCACACAGTTCTTTTGTGCCTTCCATGATGGCACCGTCCGGATGGCACTGGGACTGATTGCCATCCACGGTGCTGGGTAATTGCACTGAATCGTGATGGTGACGAGATCTTCCCTGGCTATCCGGGAACGTGGCCGTTCTCGGCGCCTTGATAGGTTTTTTTAAGGTTTCTTTGCGTCTGGTGATAGCCTCTGGCGAGTACTAGTATGCCATGACTCTCTTTCAATTTTCACCTCATTTGTCCCTCGTGGACAGTCACGCCAAGACGGCCAACAACCACAGGCGCTCTACACAAACATCTCTGACACTTCACTTACAAACTCCCCTGCAGACGCTCCCAACACCACCACAACCATGCCTGCCGCCATCTCTCCAACGCTGCCACCCACTGGCATCACCAAGTTCACCAACTGTCGTCTCTTAAAGCATGGTGATCTTGTCTGGGAGGACCTGTGGGTCAGCTCGGCCACCGGCAAGATCGTTGACAGCCAGGCTTCCTTCTACGGCGAACTCCATCTCCCTGATTCGACCATCGACCTTGGTGGGCGCATCATCGCCCCTGGTCTGATCGAGAGCCAGCTGAATGGAGCCTTTGGCTTCAACTTTTCGACCCTGCTTGACGACATGTCCGAATATGGCAAAAACATGGACCAAGTCAATCGCCTACTGGTCAAGACAGGGGTGACATCGTACATCCCGACAATCACGAGCCAGCGCCCAGAAATGTACCAAAAGGTGAGCTTCCATTCCCTGGGGATTGGATGGTGGGGATCACACATGAGGCTAATGCTCCGGCAGGCACTCCCGTATCTGGGCCCGTCTGGGGAACGGCGCATCGCCTATCATGGGGCCGAGTCCCTCGGCGCTCACTGCGAGGGTCCGTTCCTGAGCCCCACCAAGAACGGCGTCCACAATGTCGACGTCCTCTTACAAGCACAGTCTATTGAGGACCTCGAACGATGCTATGGCCGTGAGAATATGACCCCTCGCCAGGATGGAAGCAAGTCGCCCATCAAGATGATCACTGCCGCTCCTGAGCGAGGACAGATGATGAGTCTCATCCCCGAGATCACTTCGAGGGGCATCATCTACTCGGTTGGCCACACCGAGGCCACATATGAGGAAGCGTCCCAAGCAGTTAGCAATGGTGCCAGAATGATTACACACCTCTTCAACGCTATGCGCCCTCTGCATCACAGAAACCCGGGTGTTTTTGGTGTTCTGGGCAAGGCCGAGAGCCTGCCAAGACCTTTCTTTGGCATCATTTCTGACGGCATCCACTTACACCCCACGACCATTAAAATCGCCTACAACGCGCACCCTGACGGCTTCATCCTCGTCACAGACGCTATGCATCTTGTCGGTCTCCCAGATGGAGCTTACCCATGGACCAATGGGGAAGGTACATGCAATATTATCAAGAAGGGTCCCAAGCTGCTGCTCGAGAACTCGGACACGATTGCCGGAAGGTGAGTAGCTATTTCGTATTAGCAATTGTGGCTGCTGACCTTGACCAGTTCGATTACGCTGCTCGAGTGCGTCAACAACTTCATGCAATGGACGGGAGCAGGCATTCCACATGCTCTTGGAGCAGTGACCTCGACGCCTGCTGCCATGCTCGGCTTGCAAGGAGTCAAGGGTACATTGGACTCGGGTGCCGACGCCGACCTCGTGATCCTATCCGAGAACGCTGTAAGTCAGGGCGAGGTTGGAGGAGCCTACCATCGCCTTGTTCTAGACGAGGTGTGGAAGTTTGGCGAGAGGGTCTCCCGGGCTGAAAAGGGCGGAAACTTCATGTGAAAGTTGCCAAGGGTGGATCAAGGTTTCCTATTATTGAGTATCGAGTTACGAGAACAAGACTGTACGCATTAGAGTTGAAGAGTATTCCCCATAAGCGGTTTTAGAGGTTCAGTGGTTAAACAAACGAGCCAGGAGTTCCGGTAGACGGCGTTGATAAGGATAAAAAGATTGAACCGTTTGAACAACCTGATATGATATCTATTCCATCCTGTGTGTATATGCGTGAATGATCCATGTGATGGATTTCATGCGTGTGCAAGCTCCATCGCATATTCAGGGTCCTTCCAGCTGCCCGATTGGCGATAGTGAGCCACCCGCTAAACCGTAGCGCAACCGGCGGCCAAGCCCCTTCTGAAGCCATGCTCGAGACCACCCACTGATAGAGCCCCATGTCCCTCAACAGGCGGCAGAGTGCAGCGGGGGATTGCGGCTTTCAAGCATGAGGGCGTCCGGGCTCGGCCAATTGTTGGAGCGATGCCAATCAGCGATAGCAAAGGTCCGATGGAGGCACCATCCGGCAGCACTTCAGCAGCCAGCCCAGTGGGCCCTCTCCACAAAGTCTCCTCCACTCTCCACCTCCACCTCCGCGGGCTCCCCTTCCATTCATTCTAACTTGCGTGCTCTCTCCATCCGATGCTTGTCGGCTGATCCGTCGGTTGCTTGAATCTTCAGCGCGCTTGTTTCGCTTCTAGAGACCAGCGCTGCTTCAGCCTACAATCGCCCTCGTCGCCGCTTCCGCATCATCGTTTCTGTCTGTTTCACAGAGTCGCGCGCCATCGTCTTGTGTCGCTATCCCCCGCCGCGCCCACCTGATCCAATGGGGCAATAACGGTGCGCTTCAACTGAACAATGCCATGTCCACCTTCAACTCAATGCCGGGGCTGCCAACAGGCGCCTCCGCCAGCGAATCCATGGCCATGAATCTCAGCTCCGGACAGTCCCAGAACATGGGAATGGACGTCTTTGACCAAGATCTAACCTTTGACGAATCACTACTGTAGGTGCTGCTTCTACTTGCGCGCGCGCAATGACCAGTCCAGTCGACAAGCTGACAGCTATCTGTAGTGACGGAACCGCGTTACCGAACCTCCCCTTTGGCAGCTCGTACGACCTAGATGCCTTCTCAACAACCTTTGAAGATCCATTCTCCTACTCGTCGCGACCTTACGAGCCTACGCCCCACCAAGATGTCCTGCATGAAGAATCCTCCCCCCAGGAGCCTGACAATAAGCTCCTGGGCTTCTCTGCCCCGGTCTCGAGCGCCACTATCATCAACGAGAATAACCAGTTTGTCGAGGCAAACATGACTGCCGAGTTATACGGCATGTTCTTTGTGGCCGAGGACGTCTTTGGCGGCGATTCGACGGGACGGCCTCTCGAGTTGACGTGTTATCGACGCAATCTGTGGCAGTGCTCGGGGCAGATCACCCTTCCCCGGATGATCACCAATATCATGAATGAGCAGGGGCAACACGTTCAAATATTCGAGCTTATGGCATCCATTACCGCCGTCGAATCCATCGAGGGGAAATCTACCGAGATTATATCTATCCCCTGGAAGAATGCAAACCCACAAGGAGGGGAAGACACAAAAGCTGTTTCCGCTCCACCCAATATCACTCTTGATCTTTCAACAGGTCAGGAACTAGACGCGCATCGAGTATCTCTGCCCGTGTCCTGGAAAAGACTCCAGTTCAAGCACGCCACCGCCAACAACGGCCGAAGAAAGGGCTTGCAGCAACATTACGTTGTCAAGATCAGCCTCCTAGGCAAAACACAGACAGGGGAGTTTGTCAAAATTGCCGAGATACAGTCTGGTCCAGTCATTGTACGAGGCCGGAGCCCGAGGAACTTTGATAGCAGAAAGGACGTTCCCCTGACGGGCGACAAGCGATTCGATAGAAGAAGCACATCAACCTCCAATGCTGATCAACCAACACTAAAGTTGGAGCGAGAGAATTCTCAAGCTTTCCCACAAAGATTTCCTTCCGCTAGCAGCGTCCAGGTAAGCTCTATTTATCCATCTTCGACGTCAACAATCCTGACCAGTCAGCAAACTAACGACTGGACAACACCCCAGCCCCTATCTCACCCATTACCCAGCCCTCAGCCGCAAGCCAGCCCTCATCCCGCCAAGCGAGTGGCTCTATCACCAACAATGGCGAGGCCACCAATTCCAGCTTGGTCAAACGACTCCAGTAGCTCTGCTAAAGCACAGACTACCCACAACAGCAGAAGCTCGGCATCACGGCAAAACACTTCTCTCCCAATTAACCTATCCTTATCAGAGGATGAGAGAAGTCCAAATCGCTCCAGTGCTGAGCTACATAGTCCCAACTCGGGCAAGAACCATTCCACGACAGGTGTAAACCGGGAAGCCAGCCCTGCAGAAGAGGCTGACCCGCTGTATGAGTACTTCCCGCTGACGGTGGACGATTGGTATGATATAATTCATCTTGTTCTTCTCCTTGGAATTTCGCTGACCATGTTCAGGATGCCACCCGTCGATGCCGTCTACAGACCGCACGTGGTCCATCACACCATCATGCCACCCGAGATGAAGGCGCAGCAGTTGAGGAGCAAGGCGAAGCGATATTTCGCCCCGGAGTAAAAGTGAGGAAATTTGGCGCAAAATGATGATTTATGAATTTTTATTGGAGGTGAGAGGTTGGTTATGTGGTGTATATTACTCTACTATTTGTTAGCATCGGCTTATTAGCCCATTTCATGGAGCAGTTGATCTTGGGAAGAAGCATCAAGGACCGGGTGAGCAGAGCTCGAGACAGATAATGAACAGCTGGTTCATTCAGGACACGAAAGGGCTTGCACATATACCCTAGATTTTCAATGCAAGTTCAACGAGTACTATTACAAATATGATATTGCCAGACACGAGCCTAGGTGACGCTGTAAAACACCAAACGCCCAACATCCAACCCAACGTGACCAACTCCCTAAGCCATGCCATGTCTCTTTTACTTTTAGACCAAGCAGACGCCTCCCTTTCCAGCGTGTCAGCATTATTTGGGGTTTATTCTTCTATCCCTACTGGTACAGTCTGGTGGTATCCTCAACTCCGAAACAATAATGTAGCGACTGGACAAGACCTGCTCCGTCTCTATTTTCCCAGGATTCCAGGTATGTGACTACTCAACTTGAAACCTGTTAAACCGCGATAACGTTTGCCTTACTCTGCATCTCGGGCTTTGGAGTAAGCCGGCCGTTCAGGCTTGGCTCGGGGATACGCGATGCCATTCGGTCGGGGACAAGGTCTGGAGAGGGAGATCTCCTAGCAGCGTCGGCCGTGGGCGTCGCCCGCAAGAGGTGAGAAGCAATGGGTTCAGGGGCAATGACTGTCGGGGTCTGAACCTTTTCGATCTTGGTTGCGGGGATGGCAACGTTGCCGGTGCGGACTTTGGAAGGGAGAATCTGCTCGAATCCTTGCTCACGAGCGACTTTCTCGATACTCTTGAAGTACTGGGAATATGTTAGCGGAGAGCACTGTGATTTGACTTGCTTGCTTACCTTGACCGTCTTGACCTGAAGCTCTAGCGTCGCATCCTCATCGACCACAATCATGGGATGTGGGTGAAGTTGCAAGCAGGATAGCGACCACATGTGGTTGACACCCTGCTCGATACACTTTTGCAACGCGAGCGCCTTTCGGGCTCCGAGAATGATGACGACAACCTCCCTCGCCTCTAGTACAGTCTGGACACCAACGGTCAAGGCCATTCTCGGCACTCTGCTCAGATCGTTGTCAAAGAAGCGAGAGTTGGACAGAATAGTGTCGTAGGCCAAGGTCTTGACCCTGGTGCGGCTGGCGAGACTGGATCCTGGCTCGTTGAAAGCAATGTGTCCGTCTTCGCCAATGCCAGCAAGGAAAAGATCGATGCCACCAGCCGCCTTGATTGCATCCTCGTATGCATCGCACTCGGCCTCTGGGTTGGGCGCATTGCCATCAAGGATGTGGACGTTGGAAGGATGAATGTTTACGTGAGAAAAGAAATGCTCCCACATAAAGGTGTGATAGGAATGGGGATCGTCTCGAGGCAATCCGACGTACTCGTCCATGTTGAAGGTGACGACATTTTCGAACGAGACCTTGGATGTTTAGTTAGCTACCGTGTAAGTGGATGATATTGAAGAGAAGCTTACCTCGCCAGCCTTGTACTTGCGAACGAGCATATCATACACACCAACAGGGCTAGATCCTGTAGGAAGACCTAGAACGAAGGGGTGCTCTGGCGTAGGTTGGAACGCGTTGATGCGCTCGGCGACATAATTAGCGACATAGGCGCATGCCGCATTCTCGTCGTCGCGGATGATGAGCCGCATGATGTAGGGATGTAGGTAAATGTCTAGAAGGGGGATAGTGTGTGGGTATTCAAGATCAATAGACAAGGGTCTGTTGTTTGTGTGAGGTTTCTTGTGATGGAGGGTTTTGCAGAAAACAGACTTTCTTTTGCACGAGATGTGACTTTCTTATGAGGGGGGAGGCACACACAGACAATTCAAAGTTCCTGCCAAGCAAGAATAAACTTGCCATGTGCGATACGTCGTGGAACCCACCAGATTGGTCGCCTCTTGCCCATCCCATCCATCATGTGTGCGTGGAGAGAAGGAGAGCGGCATCGGGGGGCCTTGCAATGTACAGTATCATGTAAACTATTGGATGCAGTGACTGATTGGAAATGAAACGTTCACTGGAAGAAGCATATGATTGAACTGGGTGACTCGGGTCGTGAGATCGCACTGTATTGCTCATGATGGCCAAGGTTGTGTAGAGTCATATGACCCAACGGCCGTTCAATTGGCTGACAGTGGACGAACCGCAAAGGTTGAAGCAACGCTGCGTGGAAAAAATGACGTCCCAGTAGACCATGGCCACTCGGGGTAAAGTGTAGACGGCGATGTAAGGTAGCTTTCGGCAGAAGTGGAGGTTATCTACAGTCCGGTCCCTGATCAAGGTCAGGACGATGGCACCTTTACCACCTTTGAACCATGTCAATCTGCGACGACGGGATCGAATCTTTTGTTGCTTCTCGTATTCGACTTGCATCAAGATCTTGTAAACCCATCTCATCACCTTCTAGAACACTCGCCGAGCCGCAGCCCATGTTGGATACCAACCCGAGGTGGCCGTCGAGGGTCTGCGTAAGCCCAGCTCCACGTGTCGGGATTGGTCTCAAAAGGACTCATTTTTGACAGGGTTCAAGGGGCTCTTTTACTTGTTGGCTTCCAACTCGCAGGCGGGCGCTCTCCTTGTACAACAAGGTGCTGTCGGAGCCCAGAAGTAACAATAGATGCTGGCTTTGGCCGAGATGAATCCTTGTTGTTGCAAGGCACAGATGGGACTTTTGACCCACCGAGCCTCGGCGTGGGGTAGCTTAGTGGTAGCTCTCAGTAGCGGTGCACTAACAATTTCCCTTGCTCCCGTGTCTTTGGTCCACTGAGAGGTGACCCTCCCCTGGGCCTGGCTGGGCTGGTAGTGGCAGAGGCTGGCTGGTTTAAACATCCACTTCTCACGGGGGCGCTCACACGCAACGTTACAACCCCCCCATCTGGCATTGATCCTCATCTCCTCCTCCATCTGACCCAACAGAAATGTCGAGTCTGAGACCACGAATTGAACGGCTCCTGCGAGTAAAGGCCCGTTCCCAGGCGCCGGCACTCTCTGTAGCGCCTACCTAAAAGCCTTTTGTTTCAGTGGCGGTTGTCGCGTGTCGCCTCGCCTGTGCCTGTGCGACGTTGAATCTAGGACAGGACCTCCCTCCGTCCATCATGGATGGACTCGCTCATCCATTCCCTTTGGCGACAAACAAACCCGCCCGCTTCTCGACTCCTCCCTGCCACCTCGAGTCCTCGGCGGTTTTGCTGCTTCCCTCTGCTTCTTACCCGCCGGCCTGCCTGACCTGAACCCAGTCCTGGCAGGTCTCATCAGCTCCCCCTGTCAAGTTGCTTCCATCCATCGTTCACGTCCCGTCTCTTCTCTCCCGTCGTCTGAGCGCGTGCTGCCATCCATCCACGGACGGCCGACTGGACGGACCTGTCCATCCACTCACTGGGACCATCGGGGCGTAAGACTCTCTCTCTCTCATCTCACCCCATCTGTCCCCTCAAAGGCGAATCCTCCAGCCTGCCTCTTGCTCGTATTTCCGTCAAGTATTTACTTTGCGCCGTGTCCATGACTTGGTTCCTCCTCCGATCTTCTCTTACTTCTTCGTCATCATTGTCCATGGTATGCAGCCGCTCGTTTCTGCAATGGCGACCTTTCGAAAGACATTCCTAGCTGCCATCATCAAGAGCCTCCTGCGGGGCAAGTCACTGGTCCAGGCCATCTTGGCTTACTGGATCCGTCCCGTGAAGCTCGGCACAGATGGCAAGCCTCGTGTTGGTACCACGTCGCGACGTACTATACAAAAGTTTCTCAAGGAGGCTGAGGCTCTGTTGCTTGGACCCGTCGACCGAGATGGCCTACAACAACTATCGCGAGACCTACGGGAGCAACTCCTAGACCGACTCCAGACCGACATGCAGTGCATGCTACCCTCATACAGCCACCAACTTCCCAGAGGCACTGAATGCGGTCGTTTTCTAGCTTTGGATGTTGGCGGTTCAACCCTCAGAGTAGCACTGGTCGAATTGCGAGGGCGCACAGCCGACGTGGGAGAGGAGAGCAAGATCGTCAGCATCCAGAATTATTACATAGGCCCTGAAATCAAAGCACTGGAAGGCATGGCTTTCTTCGATTGGATGGCCGAGAGGATATTAGAGACTCTGTCTGCAGAGTTGGAGGAGCATCGTAGTCCTGACCATCCTCTACCAATGTCGATGGCGTGGAGCTTTCCCATTGAGTGAGTTTCTTTTCTATACCCCCTTGCTTTTTGTTTGAAACTGACGTATATATTTTAGGCAAACTTCACTGGCTGGTGGAAAGCTGCAAGGTATGGGTAAAGGCTTCTCGGCGAACAAGGGGCTTGTCGGCCAGGACCTCGGACAAATCGTACGGACGGCGTGTCTAAACCGTGGGCTCAGTGTAGAGCTTCGAGCCATCGTCAACGATTCGAGTGCCTGCTTGCTATCGGAGTCGTACAACCACATCTCGACAAGATTCGGTCTCATCCTCGGAACCGGTGTCAACATGGCAGCCTACCTCCCCGTCTCCGCCATTGGACGTTCCAAGTTTGGTCAACGTCCTCCTGAGTGGTTCGAGAAGGCCACGCATGTCATCATCAACAGCGAGATTAGCATGATGGGGCGTGATATCCTGCCCTTGACGAGATGGGACAGGCAGCTGCTTGAGAACCATTCTCGGCCCGAGTTTCAACCCCTGGAGCACATGGTCAGCGGCATGTATCTGGGCGAGATTTGCAGGCTCGCCCTTGTTGAGGCGATCGAGTCCACTGGCGTCTTTGGGGCTGTGCTTCCACCATCACTACAGAAGCCGTACTCGCTGTCGACTGAGACTCTATCCATTATTCAGAGGTATGTTTGTGACCAAGTTTATGCAAGCCAGGGATACTGACATTTTACAGGGACACAACTGATGAGCTTGATGCAGCCTGTCAACAATTCTCTCTCCGTCACCCATCACCACACACTCCCACAACCTCGGACATGTCATTCCTCAAGCAACTGGCTTCGTTCATCTCAACCCGCTCAAGCGCACTTGTGGCTACAGGCGTCTACACGTTCTGGAACCTACGCATCGAAAGCCAGAACAACTTCATCTCGACGCTACCTCTGGATTCGCCCCTTCGCGAGAGCGCCGAGGCAGATCGCGACCTCAACGAAACAACTGTCGCCTACAACGGCGGCGTGATTGAAAGCTACCCAGGTTATCTCGCCAGCTGCCAATCATACTTGAACGACCTGGTAGCGGCTGAAGAGAAGGAGAAGAGCGGAAAGAAGACAATCAAGCTCGTCTCGGCCAAGGAGAGCTCACTCATGGGCGCCGCAGTGGCCTTGGCTTCTCTAGAAAGGGACGAAGGGGGGCCTCTGGGAGTGGTAGGATAAGGGTAAATGATGTGATGACGGGGTATAATGGGTGCAACACGTTTGAAGTATACAATGGCACTGGCGCTTGGCGATATCACTTTTGGACGAAAGCATGTGTAAAGGGACTCGGACGCCATGGTTAGAGTCTCGAGCCATACTAGAGGCTCATGGTTAACGAACGGTTTGAACGGAGGGATGAGATGAAAAACAGTTCATGTTGATGAAAATTCACTTTGAGAATTTCCAATATTTTAGGTTTATATAGTTTCTCTCATGGTGATATTTCTGGGTGCGTCTTCCATCGAGCCTCTTAGTTATGCTCAAGACGCGGTCAAGTTTGTGGCGTAAAGTGGTTCGCGACTGTGCGCGCGATACTCCACAACCCCTGTTCTTCCACTTCTAACGTGCTGCTTCCATTGGCGGGTGGAACCTTCTCTAACGTCATAATGTCTCCGTTGTCACGTGAGCGCCTGGCGTCTTCGCGTTGAGTGGACGGCGCGTCTTGACAATCAGGCACCCCACGGCAAACTTCCCGGCGAGCATCACAAGTTTGCGCAACCAAAACTGAGCTCAAGCACCAGCACCTCTCGTGTTCATGTCTTGGCCAAGGTGCTCTCCTTGTTTCTAGGGTTTTTTTCTTTTCTTTTCTTTTCTTTTCTTTTCTTTTCATCTGAACGTATACTATTGAGCTACGCGACATGGCAGACACCCCGAAAGGCTCAGCTCTTTTTGCTGAGTGCGCCGTCGCGTTTGTCTCGAGCAGTGCGTTGACTCCGAAGCTCATTAGCGAAGTATGATGGCCTTGAAGTTCCCTAATTCTCACCGTACTAATAATATTGCAGCTGTCGTCGCTTCTAGAGGACCATGGCGCTACCATCTGCGAACCCCGACGCGACGGCTCGATCCCCATCGAGAAAGTCACACACATCATCTCGAATACGATCGATTTCCCCCAATTCACGGAGTCGCAAGCTGTCATGATTCCGGTTGTCACAACACAATGGATCACCAGCTCACTCACCCGCCGAAAACAAGCACAGATCCGACCATTCTCTCCTGACCCTAGGTTGATTTTTGCCGAGGTCGTGGTGACCTGCGCCGATCTACCAGAGACGGACAAGGAGAGCATCGCTGGTGCCACGATGGCTTTGGGTGGACAAGAGACCAAGGACGCGACTCGAATGACTACACATATCTGTGCGCTATCAATGGATCATCCCAAGGTCCAAGCTGCCCTCCAGAAGGGATGGAAGGGCAAGGTTGTTCTGCCGCACTGGTAGGCAAAAATTGAGATGACAAAGCCGCGAGTCACTGACATGTCTAGGTTCGACGATTGCTTCAAGCTGGGCAAGCGCATTGACGAAGGTCCCTATCTTTTGCCTGACCCCGAGATTCTTAAGAAGTCACCCGAGGACGAGCTCAAGATTCCGACCAATGAGAACCTCACAGGAGCTACATCACCAACTCCAACATATCTACCACTACCACCTGACGGAGATGTCGTTCGCCCACCAGTCACCGTTTTCCAAGATCGCAGGGTGATGCTCTCATCAGATTTGAGCATCACTGAAAGGCTCACCAAGGTGGTCAAGGACATCATTGTCAATGGTGGTGGCAAGGTTGTAGAACAGGTTGAGGATTGCGACATGTTTATCTGCCAATACCGGGACGGCCCTCAATATGTTCAGGCCGCGCAGTCATGCAAGGACGTGGGAAACCTTGCGTGGCTTTACTGGCTTATCGTCCATAATGACTGGACATCCCCTCTTCGCCGACTGCTGCACTACCCGGTTCCTAAAAACGGCATCGAGGGATTCAAGAACATGCGTATCACTGTGTCAAACTACGGCGGCGAGGCCCGGATCTATCTGGAAAACCTCATTAGGGCCTGTGGCGCCGAGTTCACCAAGACGATGAAGTCGGACAACACCCACCTCATCACTGCGCGCGACTCGAGCGAGAAATGCAAGGCCGCCCCCGAATGGGGCATCGCAGTCATCAACCACCTCTGGATCGAGGAGAGCTACGCTAAGTGCGAGCTGAAGCCCATCAACATTAAGAAGTTCAACCACTTCCCTCCACGAACCAACCTTGGCGAAATTATTGGGCAGACCTTCTTTGATGAGTCAAGGTTGCGAGAGCTTTACTACCCCGGGGGTGACGACAAATTGTCTCCCGGAGCGAAGAGAAAGCGCAAGATTCTCGAGGCAGCGGAAGAGAACGCATATTCTCGAGGGCCAGCGGAGGGCGTTGTTGTTGGCCGTGTAAGTGAGGATGTGGATATGGATGATCTCCAGGAAGAGACCGAGGACGAAAGGCCTGCCAAGAGGACGACAACAAAGACTGCTGCCGCGATAGCAACACCGATTCGCGCTCGCCATGCCGAAAAGGAGAACGATACACCGTCTGTGATTTCTACGGGAGGTCGCAGTGCCAAGGCAAAGGCCCGAGATCTCTTGCAGGCTATTGCCCCCGATATTGCGCTTTACGAGAAGGAGAAGAAGCGCAGCAAAACAGGCAACGCCCTTTGGGGTGGCAAGCGGGCCGCGGATCAAGCAGAGAAGGCAAACAACAAACAGAGGCAGGCAAAGAGCCCAGAAGTTGAAGAGGATAATGCTGCAAAACGGCCAGCCAAGAAGGCCAGGCAATCACTTCCGGACGTCGAGATGCGTGTCATTTTGACCGGTTTCAGCAGATGGGTTGGGGATAAGAACAAGGAAGATCAGGATCGGGTAAGTAAGCGTAAGCCTCGTCTACATCTACATGTTCTAATATGTCGAACAGAGAAAACTACGGGATCTGGGTATCCAAATTGTTCAAGAGGGGCAGCCGTGCGACTATCTAGCAGCCCCTCACATTGTTCGGACCGTCAAATTCCTATGCGCCCTAGCCCGTGGGCCAACCGTCATCTCTTCCACGTTTATTGACAAAACCCTGGAGATGGGCAAGCTGCCCGACATCGACGAGTATATCCTCCAAGACAAGGAGACGGAGAAGCGATATGACGTGAACCTCGAAAAGTCGGTGGCTCGTGCCAAGTCGAACCGAGGCAAGCTGCTGACGGGGGTTCCCATCTACTGTACTGAAAAGATCCGAAACGGACCCGACAGTTACAAGGCCATTGCCGAAGCGAATGGGGCGATCTTCAAGATCTATCGGGCACGGAGCGGGACGACGATTCGACCGACGACGGCGGAGGAGGAGGGCAATGCGCCTCCAGAACCTGTCTACCTCCTGAGCAGTCTGGCTCACGATGAGCGGCAACTGTGGAATCGGTTCCGAGATATGGCGCGAAAGGGCAACATGGAGCCGCGAGTGGTTGCGCCTGACTGGTTGCTTGACGTGGCGATGGCTCAGCAAGTGAGGTTTGACGACAAGTTTTTGGTGGAGAACTATTACGCGGACCAGCTGTAACGCAGACTCGGACGCAAGTTGGAGAGGTTTCTTGATGATGCTTGGTGCAAGTCTGGAAATATGGCCGGTGGTAGAGTTGGAGGTAGGTCGAATTGCCATGCTGTACTGTACTGTACTGATGATGATGGCTCGTTCGGGGCGGCGTAATGTATAGAGATGTGAAAATGGGTTCAGCGTTTAGAAGAATTTGACGCCTAATGAGTCGTCTTGGCCAAAGATTTGAGCCTTGCCTCGCTTGACAAGGACATTAAGGGCTTTAATGAGGACATCTTGGTCCATTCCATGGATATCTACTATTGGTGAGCAATGTGACTGCCCATGCTTGTTCCTTGTAAACCTACCAGTTCCCTTGGTGCCATCGCCCTCGACAAGCTCATAGATAGTCAGGACGCTGCCCTTCTGGCCCGTCTCGTCGACATAATTCTCAATGAGCTCAGCCCACTCGTCAGGCTTGCGCCAGTATACAAGAACGACGTCACCAGTTGTGCCACCGCCGACATACTCTACACGGCCATCCTTATGCATAAAGACGACGACATCGCGGACATCATCAAACTGTAGACGACGGTCTAGTTTACGGTTGACAAAAAGGTCCGAGTCGGCGGCTTCTGAGAGGGAAAGACGGAAGATGCGATTATGTCGAGCGTATGAGAGGATTAGGTCGGACCACTTTGTGCGCTGGGCATGGAGAGTGGTGAGGTTTGTCTGGCGGGTGAAGAAGGCTGGAAAATTGTATTCGCGGGGAAAGACGAAGGAGCCGTCGTCGTCGGTGGTGGTGGTAGCCATGACTGGGGAGGAGTGGTTTATCGTGATGGTTTTTGGTATTGAGAGAGAAGCTTCTTTTGGAGGGGTTGACGTGATGACGTGGGGGGTGGAGGGGTTCGTGGTGGGCGACCACGTGCTGGTTCGGCCGAGACCGGTTTAGATGCGACATTGCCCAGTGAGGAAGGCATACAATTCTCTTTTTTCTTTCATTAATCTCGAATTTAAAGGTCGATGCAAGTTTGTCATATTCTCATGAGGACTATGCAACTAATTCTTTGGATGAGTCGGCAATATCAGAATGCAGGTTTTCAATCAAATCATTCCAATTCGCTCAATTTGGACTACACAATGTCCCCCATAAAACAGACCCCAGACGCATCCTAGTGCGCCCGTCAAGAGACTTTTAAACAACTTGATTTCGGCATTCAAATTTACAATTACTTCTTCTCCCCGGAAAACAAGTATCCTTTGTTGTTATCTCTGTGGGGGATAGCTCATTCAGCCAGTCACAGCGTTGGTGTTGCAATAGCCTCGAACAGAGATGCGCCTTATCTTGATCCAACTGATAAGGGGAAGAGAGCTTGGCTCCGAGGAAAAGGTTCAACTGCAGGGAAGATGAAAAGGCATCAAAAATAACTCGGTCACAAAATGAAAGAGACGGAAAAGGACTTGCGGCTCCGGTCATAATTCGGAGACCCATGTTTTGTTGTAGGTTCTCGTCTCACCGTGGTCGAGTAGCAGCTCACCGCGACTCATCGTGACAAGCAAATACCCGCTGAAAAGAAACCGTATAACATCGTCAGAGCCCTCATCTGCTCATCTCACGACATTAACATGGTCTGTCCGACGTATGACTGTTGTCGGATTTCCACGCACCGCCCCGACGCCCCACGTCCCTGAGTAAACGTCCATCTCCGCGGAGCATTTACAAAAGAGACGCCAACAAAGGCCGCTCCCGAGCCGTGCGGCCGCTGTCCTCTCTGAGCTCATTGATTGGTTCCCCTTCCGACCAGAGGGCCTCTACCACCCAGCTGGCCGATCTTTGATAACGAGACACAGAGCCCCCCGTGGCGAGTAGAACGTTTCTCCCGGAGATGCCAATGGCGCCATGACTGAGCCGGAGATGCAATTCTCGATAGGGAATAAGGAGCCATGAGGCTCCAGACAGAGGATCCATAGCCATGGGCCTCGAGACCGAGAGACCCTCTCACAGTCCAGGGCTCCTGGTTCCTATCAGGACTTGTTTATAACCATGGAATCTCCTGGGGTCCCGCTGCAGGATTTCTCTGAGGGTATTCATCCACAGGGCTACTCACAGACAATTCAATCCGCCCAGCATGAGTGAAACACAGAAACGCCTGGTCGTTGTCGGACTGGGCATGGTGGGCATTGCTTTCATGTAAGTGGGCTCGACACTGACAATGTAGCGATTACATGATCTGACGCTTTTGTAGAGAAAAGCTGCTCAAGTACGATGCCACAGCAAAAGAATACTCTGTTACTGTTCTTGGAGAGGAGCCATATCTCGCCTACAACCGAGTAGGACTTACGAGTTTCTTTGAGCACCGGAAGATTGAGAATTTGTACATGAACCCAGCAGAATGGGTAGGTTGAGCCGCATCGAGCATATCCTGGTAGACACTGACGAATGATATAGTATGCCGAGGCAGAGGGATCTCTCAACTACCACGTCAACACCAAAGCCACTAGTATCAACACAGACGACAAGACGGTCGAATGCGCCAACGGCGAGACATACCCTTACGACATCCTCGTCCTGGCTACCGGCTCCGATGCTATCCTTCCCCGAGGTCTTCCCGGTCATGACGCCAACGGTGTTTTTGTTTACCGCACAATCGACGATCTCAAGAAACTCATCGAGTTTGCCGACTCGAAGCATGGTACCAACGGTGTGGTTGTCGGTGGCGGCCTGCTCGGTCTCGAAGCTGCCAAGGCCATGTTAGACCTAGAGCGATTCAACAAGATCAGACTGCTGGAGAAGGCACCCTATGTCCTGAGCAGACAACTCGATGATGTTGCTGGCAAGATGGTGGTGGACCAGGTCTCACAGCTCGGCGTGGACGTCATGCTCGGCAAGGGTGTTTCCAGAATCAAGACTGATGAGGAGAACAAGCTCACCGGTGTGGTGTTTGAAGATTCCCAAGAGATTGACTGCTCAACGCTGTGCTTCGCTGTCGGTGTAAAGCCCAGAGATGACCTTGCTAGGGTCTCTGGACTTGAGCTCGGTCAGCGAGGTGGTATCGTCGTCAACGACGACTTGAGAACAAGCATGCCAGACATCTACGCCATTGGAGAGTGTGCCAGCTGGAGGGGAATGGCCTATGGTCTTATCGCCCCCGGTGTCGAAATGGCAGAAGTCCTCGCCTTCAACCTCACCCAAGCAAAACTTCACTCGCCCCGAACCTTTAAGCGTCCCGACCTGAGCACAAAACTCAAGCTTCTTGGTGTCAACGTCGCCAGCTTCGGTGACTGCTTCGCCGACCGTGATGGTCCTGCATCTCTTCCACCCAAGTTTGCCAAGAACTTGCAAAACGGTGACGTTTCTTCGGCCAAGTCGGTGCAGGCCTTGACATACAAGGACCCTTTTCTCAACATCTACAAGAAGTACATCTTTACCAAGGATGGCAAGTACCTTCTTGGTGGTATGATGCTTGGCGATGTCAATGACTATGTCAAGCTCGTGCCCATGGTCAAGTCCATGAAGGAGCTTGATGTTCCCCCAAGCGAACTCATTCTTGGTGCAAAGAAGGACGACGATGGTGGCGACGACCTCCCCGATGATGCGCAGGTGTGTTCGTGCCACAACGTGACAAAGGGTGATATCGTCAAGGTCGTCAAGGACGGTACCTGCAAGGATGTCACGAGTCTCAAGAAGTGCACAAAGGCCGGTACAGGCTGTGGTGGTTGCGTTCCCCTCATTACCACCATCTTCAACCAGACCATGGCATCCATGGGCAACGAGGTGACAAACTACCTCTGCCCTCACTTCAACTACTCCCGTGTGGATCTCTTCAACATTGTCATGGTGAAGCGTCTCAAGTCGCTGCCAGAGGTGATGCGCGAGGTTGGAAACGACAAGACCAGTGTCGGCTGCGAGCTGTGCAAGCCTGCCGTGGCGAGCATCATGGCCTCGCTCTGGAACAGACACGTCATGGACAAGACCACCTACGGTCTTCAAGATACCAACGATCGCTTCCTGGGCAACATCCAGCGTGACGGCACATATTCCGTCGTCCCCCGTGTGTCGGGTGGAGAGATCACTCCCGAGAAGCTTGTCGCTATCGGTGAGGTGGCGAGAAAGTACAACCTCTACACCAAGATCACAGGTGGTCAGCGTATCGATTTGTTTGGAGCCAAGAAGCAGGATCTCCTCGACATCTGGGGTCAGCTTGTCGCTGCCGGCATGGAATCCGGCCACGCCTACGCCAAGTCCCTACGTACGGTCAAGAGCTGCGTCGGCTCAACATGGTGCCGATTCGGTATTGGCGACAGCGTCGGCATGGCTATTCGTCTCGAGGAGCGGTACAAGAGTGTACGAGCACCGCACAAGATCAAGGGTGGTGTAAGTGGTTGCGTGCGTGAGTGTGCTGAAGCCCAAAGCAAAGAGTATGTTTCTATCCCTATTCCGATGTCCACCTTTATGTAACTAACATGATTTCAGTTTCGGTTTGATCGCCACGGAAAAGGGCTTCAATATCTTTGTTGGCGGTAACGGAGGCGCAAAGCCTCGCCATGCCGAGTTGTTGGCAAAGGATGTGCCTCCCGCCGAAGTGGTACCCATCCTGGACCGTTACCTCATGTTCTACATCCGCACAGCAGACAAGCTTCAGCGTACGGCACGTTGGATCGAGAATCTCCCTGGTGGTCTCAAGTATCTCCAAGAGGTCATCCTCGACGACAAGCTAGGCATCTGCGCGTCACTCGAGGCCCAGATGAATGAGCTCGTCGACAGCTTCTTTGACGAGTGGGCCGAAGCAATCCGCACACCTGCCATCGCCGCCAAGTTCCGACAATTCAACAACACAGCCGAGACGACGCCCAACATGGAAGTCGAGTCTGATCGCGGACAGAAGCGGCCCGCGTTCTGGGTGGGCGACGCCGCCACTGACGACTTCCAGGGCCTCAAGGACAAGTGGTCCATGACGGCGTGGGAGCCCATCATCGAGACGTCCTACTTTGACGGCGCTGATGAGCTGCCCAATGGCATATCCGCCACCATCAAGCGCGGCGATACTCAGCTTGCTGTCTGGCGCATCCAGGGCGTTTACTACGCCACGCAGCAAATGTGTCCTCACAAGCGTGCCTTCATCCTCTCCGACGGTCTCGTCGGTCAGGAGCCCTGTGACAAGAAAAAGTCCTCTGACGCCCCTGAGGATACCAAGACCTCACCTTGGGTCTCGTGCCCACACCACAAGCGCAACTTTGACCTCGGAAACGGCTCCTGCAAGACGGATGAGAAGCTCTCCATCGCCACGTTCCCCACCGAGGCCCGTCCCGATGGCATGCTGTACCTCAAGCTCCCTCCCGTGGAGGAGCTCGATGCCGCGCTGGGCACAAGGAAGTGGATGGTCAAGAAGGGAGAGGCTGGCGAGGCGCCGCTGGCCGAGCTAGATAGACGTATCAATTTTGTTGGTCTGCGCGGTAAGAAGCCAGGCGTGAGGCCAACGGCTGGTGGTAAGATGTCAACCAAGCCCCTGGAGCTGATGGCTGCTGCCAATGGCTGTGGAGGTGGTGCACCAGAATGGTAGACATGAATAGACAAAAAAGATAAAAAAAGACGGCCTGGAGTTGAGCGTTTCAGAAATCACTTGATTGTTTAGATAGGGAAAGTCTGGGAAACGGCGACTGAGATTCGATCATGGGTTGATTTGTATGGGATATCTTTGTTGTGTGGATTAATAGACATATACCCCTCGACAGACCAGGTCAATCCCTCATCGCCGTGACGTGACATGAACGTATAAGATAAAAGTAAAGCCCGTCACCAAAAAAAGGTCGCCCAGCACGTTTCAACTCCGTAAAATGAAGTCCTCCAAGTCGAGGTTTCCTTCTCATTTCCCATCCCGGCCAACCCAGTCGACCAGGCTCCCTTCTCCCGCCTTTCGCTTATAAAAGTGTGTGCGTGTATGTGACCTACGCCGGACACGTAACATAACAGGAGGAGACATAGAAAATGGAAGGATTGGTAAAAAAGAATAATGTACCTTGAGAAAAGAGGAAAAAATGAAATGTTATGGTGGTTATCGTCGAAACACTTGACACAATTCCGATTGCGCTGTGCCAATTCCTTTGCGTGTCCCTCTCCTTCGTCCTGTATTGTCCTTTTTATCCGTTACCAAGTAAAACTCCTGATGCCACCTTTCTAAGAAGCAGATACCCATGATCGTACAAAGTCATCTCAAAAGAGCAAAGTGAAGCAGATTGCAAAGAGGTGGTCAAGTGGAGTGTGTGATAGGAAATATATCGGTAGATGTGTGTGTGTGCGTAGGTAGATGATAAGTGTGTGAATATGGGTGTATCAAGTCGCAGGTAAACATATATAATCGCTTGTCGTCGTCGTCTAGCATCCGTCGTCTTCGCATTCATCAAGGCTTCCGTAGCCAGTGTCCGAGTCCATACCCACCACGCTCTTGGTGATGGTCAGACACCGGTCTACCACCTTTTCTCGGACATCAGATGTAACGCCGCACTTCTCTCCGGGCGCTCCGCCCATCCACAGGCGGAGACCACCAGATAGTCGCTCCAGCGAGGACTGGAACGTCTCTGCTGCAACCTTGTGCTCAAAGAGCTCCTCCATTAGCTGCAGAGCTGCGGTGCAGCCAAGAAGAGACATTTGGGATGCATTGCCTCTTGTCATGATGGATTCAATAATGCGGAGACCTTGATGTGTGGTGCCAGGAGTGCACTCAACTCGTCGAAGGTGAGCGATGGCCATGGCGCAGCGGAGAGCAAGTCGGAGGTCGGGAGTCGAGGCTTGGAAACTTGAGTCGATGATGCAGATGGAAGTGCTCAGCAGAGCGTCAACCTTTTCGTTTCCCATCGATTGCAGGGCCGAGGCGATATTAGCTCCACGGGCCTTGTCGATCAGGACTGCACGTGCCACGATGGCGCGAGCCTGCGCAGTAGATCCAATCGGGGCGGTATTGATAGCCAGCTCAATGTCGTCCGTCTTGGTGAGCAGAGCCTCCTCGTCCTTCTCCATCGTTGCCAGCATAACACGGTGCAGGGTTTGAGTCGACCACCAGGCTGCAACGGCATCGAGTGGGGAGCCGATCGCCGTGTCGTCAACCACCGAATCCATTCCGTCCATAGGGGCTGTGATGTTGTAAGTAGTCTCGGTGTTGAAGGCCAGGTTGTGCGCTCGCTGGATGATATCCTCGTTAAGCACCTCGTCGCATTCCTGTTCGACCAGTGCAGCCAGATGCTCGGGCAAGTCATCGTCATGTTGCTCAGATGATCCTCGGCGAAGCTGTGTTAGGAGACGGTTCAGTTGTCGGGCCTCGTTCCACTTGGTCCGTGCAAGCTTGGCGGCAATGGCGTTGCTGGCGCCGAGGTGTAGTCGGTTCTGGCTGGGATCCCACAGAAGGAGGCGGATGTGGAGAGCCTTGAGCATGAGTCTCATAGGGCTATCAGGGAGGGTACCAGAGGCAAGTAGAGTGAGAACCAGGCGGCTCTTGTTAATCTCAACGTCGCCGCCAGCCAGCTGAGAGTCCAGGGCAATGCTCCACGCCTTGACTCGGGCAGTCTCCTGCTCCTCGGTCAACCCGGTAAGCATCTGGTAACCGTGAATACCAATAGCATTGCGAAGGCTGAGCTTCAGCGTCTTGAGAATGAGAGCAGCCGCCTCAAGGAAGAAGTTATGGCGAGGAACCCAAACAGTCTGAATAGCGGTGAGCCAAGCCTGTCGACGAACGTGAATGGGCGAAGCCAAAGATGGCGCCGCCTGCAGAACGCCAACCTGTGACTTCTTAGGCTTCTGCTGGGCTTTGGCGAATAGAGAGGGGAGGAAGACCCAAAGGAAGGTTCCCAGAAGTAGGATTATCCGTAGAGAAGTGTGGATGTGGTAGCCCATGACGTTGATGTCAAGGCCAGACGCCACAGATCGGAGGAGGTGAAGAGGCACAGCGAACAAGCCTCGGCCTTCTGGCTTTTCGTTGCTCACCTCATCCTCTCGCACCGCTTCCAATATCATTAGGCCAGCAAGTGAACCGACCATGAGCTTACCAAAGTAAGGGCCGGCATTACTCCATCTATTTTGCTGCATTTGCTGCTGCTGCTGGATCTGTTGCTGTCGGATAAGCGCAGGGTTGCCTCCTCGGTAAGGCTGTTGAGGCACAGGATATGGTTGACCAGCAGCCATCTGCGCTGAAATGATTCTCTTCATGTCATCGGGAACCTGAATCATGCCCGCTGGTGGAGGGCCACCTTCCTGCGTCGCCGACATTGGCGACCCGACAAACTGTTGAGCATCTTGGGCGTACTGAATTGGTGTAGGTGGTTGTTGCAGAGGGCTGATTGCTCCGTTCATGGCGCCGGCCATGAACAGCTTTTCAAAGGCAGCGATTCGCGCCTGCATCGCGCCATTTTCGTCGAGCAGTCGAGTATTTCGCTTCTCAAGATGTCGAATGTATTCCGTCGCCTTGCTCAAAACCTAGTTGCTATTAGTCTCATATACCATGATTGCAGACGTGGCGTGACGCGACATACGGTAGCCTTATTCAACTTGTGGGCTGGAGTCAATCCGTGAAGCTCCTCGCGATCCTCGGTCGTGTCTTCGCCTCGCGCGCTCTTGGACATGATGCGCAGACTGGGGACGCTGTCCCTCAAGGCGGCGATCTTGTCATTGAGGTTCGTCCGGTATCGCTTCTCGATCATATTGTGGGCCGTCTTCTTGACGGGCTGGTTGCCATCATCATCTTCCTCTTCCTCATCAGGGTCAGCGGATGACTTGCGCTTTCGTGAGGCCTTGGAGGACATCTCGGCGGGATCTGGCGAAGAGAAAACCCCCGTCTTGCCCTCACCAGCAGCCGAGTCGGGGCTGGAGGCGCTCTTGGGGGAGTTGTACTGGAGATGGGGCGGCATGGCGATGTTGCGCAGCTTCTCCTGCAGTGCAGGAGTTAGGTGGCTGATGATGTGCGGTTGAAGAATAGCGGGATCCTGAAGGTTGCCCGGACCCAAGGGCGGGTTCGAGGGGATGGAGGCGGCGTAAATGGACTCGGGACTGAGGGTGGTTGCCGCAAGGCTGTCGAGGCCGGCAGAGACGGGCAGCTGTTGGAGATTCTGCTGCTGATCCTGACCGAAGGTGAGAGCCCAGGGAGAGGGTTGATAGCTAGTCTGAGTGGGAGGAGCGGTGCTGGAGGGGTCGTACGAGTCGTAAGGGGGCGTGCCATTGAACTGCCATGCGGCGGCGTCGTAGTATTGCTGCTGGGTCTGGGGACGGGAGGAGGAGTCGTTGGGCAGGGAGGAGGAGGAGGAGGGGTCGGATTTCACGACCGAGCCATCGTCGACGAAGCCTAGATTTGGATCCTGGAGGCCAAAAAGGCTATTCGAAGAGTCATGGTCGGCCATGTCAGAGAAGTGGGAGCTGGGCATGGTAGGGCCAGCACCATGCAGCAGCGATGGGCTGATTGAGGTCGAGAATGGGCACCACGAGGCGAAGGGGCCCAGTTGTTGGGGTGTGGTGTCGCCGACAGAGGAGCTGGACGGGTGGCGTGTAAGAGGGCGAGGCCTTTCGGGAGAGCCTGGGTGGTGAGCCGATTGTGAGGCCCTCACACTCAGATCTCCCACGCTGGACTCGTCGCCGGAGCGAGAATTGCTGGTTGACGGCTACCTATTTTTTCCCCTTCTCGTTGATACTCTTCACTATCGCTCTTCTCAATCTGCCTCTATCTCACAGAGGCGTGGGCGTAGATGCGACAGCGGCTGACGGGCTCTGACCTGACGACAGGCGGTTGACGATAGCCCACGGGTGGTGTCTGGTGTGTTCTCCGGGGATGGGATGGGATGGGATCGACCGATGGACGGCGGATGCGGCCGAACGTTCGATGGAAGGCCGGGGTTTGCGGCAAGGGAATAGCAGCGCGACCTCGCAATGGTGGTCTGACTGGGAGCAAAATACGCTTGATGATGGTAATGGGTGATTGAGGGAAGCGACGGCTGCAAGGAATTCGATTTGAGGAGAGGGACGAGTACGGGCGGAAAATCGTACGATGGGACCCGGATATCAGCCCAGCGACGCCCAGTCGAGTCCGCGCTTGGCCAAGCCCGTTTTTCACTCTCGCTCGAGAGGAGCTCAGGGGGCCCACTAGTTTTTTAAATGTCTGCTGGGCCGCACCTCGTGGAAATGGAATACAGTGCGCAATTGTCCTGGTCCTTTTGCTGGCCAGAAACACGACGTGGTGATTTATTGGCACGGAAGGCCCCCGGAGGAGGGGCTTACGGCTAGAGCTGTACAGTGTTTCCCTTCCGGCTATGTCGACTTGACACGGTGCATATTCTCGTCCCTCCCCTCCAAATTGCTCAATCGAGGCCTCCCCTTGAGATGCCAGCAAAACACCATGCAGGCCCAGGAACCTCGCGAAAATGCATCAAGTACAACCTCTATGATATACTATCTATCCAAGCTATATTTGTTTTATTATTCCTTGCCAATCATTCGACATGGTCGTGTTTCTTGCATGGCTCTCGCCCCCTTGTCTATTCTCGAGCCTGATGACTCAGCCAGCCCTAGACACTGTGCAACCCATCCAACCAGTCCCCATTCGCGGACTGATGATGTCTTCCGTTGTTGCAGACAAGACCTTGTCGATGAAAAAACTTCCAAAGAGACCAGGGTTTTCATTCCATAGCCCCAATCAGGTCCGAGCCCCATCAATTCTCGCCCTCATCATCATCCTGTTCTGTTGGTCCTGTCCTGTTTCTGTTATCTCTCAAAGCACAATCGTGGCAGGAAGAGACAGCTCTGGCATGGGTAAGGCTTTGTCTCAGCCTAGCCACGCGAGTTTCACTGTCGTACAGTTCTGGGCCGCCCCGCGCGTGGTTCACACGATAGAGAGCACACGTTCCAGCGATAGCAGTGCCTCTTTTCTTTTCTTTTCGTACCGGAATCCGGGTGCATCTCGTCAGTGCTTGATGGTTGCCGGGACTTGACCTGTTTGGTAACGGCACAGTGGACCCGTCGGATGCTGCCCTCTTCCTGATCGTCCCCCTTGCCTTGTAACGGTTGTAACCTCACTGTATGGATCACAGCAACCGATCAATCGATCTCCTACCAATCCCAACAAGACCGGGAAACAATTAAGTTTCGCAATGCAACCTCTCCTGGTTCATCGGGGTTACTCTTGTTGGGCCTGTCTGTCTGCCTGCCATGAGCAAGACAAGGCATGGAAGCCAACGCGAGGCCAGCCAGCGACAAATGATACCAGATGCCCCACCGCCACCAAATGGGAATGGGCCGTGATGCAATATCAGGGGGTCCCCTCTCCGATGATGAGGTTGCGTCACCCTCAGTCCCGACGCTTCCTCGCTCATGATCGAATCTTGCTGCATCTGTTGTTATTCTCCTTCGATTAGCGGCCCGATCCAAGAAACCACATCACATGTTGATGCACCCCGGATTATGAGAGAATTAACAAATCGTATTTCGAAGAAGCACCGCATATGCGGTGGTGCCCTGGCCGGGACAACTTCAAGGTCCAGCCAGGTCAACTTGGGTAACGTGTACAAAAGATTTTATGCAAATAATGCCCTGTCCCTCTCCTGGTATCATACTGTCTCCCTCCCAGCAGGCTCTTTTGCCTGCTTGATCAATACCCAGGGCTTCCAGCCAAGGAGATCCAAAGTCATGGCGACATGATGGTGACCATCCAAGTGGAGGTACCGTTTTGACATCTAGGAAAAATATATGTGACGCAAGAAACCGATAAAAAATAGTCCTACCAACTCCCGCATGCTTCGTTTACCAGATATCGTCGGCGCTCTTCACCATCTCCAGAGTAGGAGTCTTGGGAACCATGCGCTTCATCCTCTTTCGGTCTTCCTTGGTAACGAGCGATGGGGTCATCGGCATGCAGGGGGTAAAGGGCTGATAAGGAGAGTATGGGACTGCACCAGCGGTGCGAGGGGTGATGCCTCCACCAGGCGACATAGGTCCCTTTCTCTCGAACACTGTCTGCTTGGTGGTCTGAGTAATGCTGTTGGGTGAAACCATGGCAGGCTCATAGGCACGCAGGGGCAGGGCACCACCGGCGCGGACGGCTGAAGCGGGTGTGTTGGAGCGGTTGAAAGTCGAACCAGGCTTAGGCGATGAAGGCAAGGACGGAAGAGAGACGTTGGACGGGAACCGGGAGCCGGGCTTGGGAGACGAAGGGAGGCCGACCAGCGGCGCCTGAGAGTGCTCCGAAGTGGCGGACTCGGGTTCGCGTTCGTGATCGGTAGGTGCTAGCGACTCATTCCGGCCGTGGCCAATAGGTGGAAGCTGTGATCCGATACGCTCATCGATGGACTGGACGCTCTCCGGTGAGATGTCGGGGGTCGGAGGAGACACATGAGTCGAGGCCGGTGCCGGATACGGAGCCTGGTCGGTGGGGACCGGAGGTGGCGCGGCCGGGGCGTAGTGTCGGGGTGGGATCGTGCTCATCTCTTGCGACTCGTGGCGTGGGAACTCGGTAGACTGGGGTGTCATGATGGGAGATGAAATGTTCATGCCCTTCATAGACTTCTTCTTTGGTGATCGGAGGGCCGAGAGGAGTGAGGAAGTCCTTGATCGGCTCTTCTCCTCGCGAGAGGCATTGAGATCCAGATTGGCAGGTTTGTTCCTTTCCTTCTTAGATGGAGATGATGCTGCAGACCTAAGAGACAGGATCGAAGCCGCTGTCGAGGGACCTCGCTGGTGAGTGGCGGTGGGCGGGAGAGGATCATAGGCAACTCCTCGCTTCTTGGCATCTTCGGCCTCCAGGACGTGTCGGTACATATCTTCGAGCTGTGACTGAGCCATGACTCTGTCTGCTGCTACGACTCTCTGATCAACAAATGGGTTGGTGCCAGGTGCGCCGATGGTTGAGTCTGGCGATGGGTGGATGTATGGGTTCGGGCTGTTGGTGTCGGTGCTGTTCTTGAAGTGAGGCTGGACGAAGGAGCCTTCGGTGATGATGTTCAATGGCACGCCGGGCTTGGATGATGCAAAATCCGGGCCGATATCTTGTTTCGCAAACTCAACTTCGTCGATTCCGGCAGCAATATGGTGGCGACGCTTCTTTGACAGAGCAACAAGTGTGAGGGCGACCAGCACCAGCGAAGCTGCGTATGCTCCGATTATACCGCCGATCTGAGCGGGGAGATGGTCGTTCACAGGTCCGCCTGGGATGGGTTCGTCTGTGGCTTTGGGGTCGCTACCTCGGGCGGCGAGAACCTGGGAGCGGGCAAGGTAAGGCTGAGCAGTGCAAAGGAGTGAAAGAGGCAGAAGCAGAAGCAGGCCGAGAGGTATTGTTAAGCGGGCACCTTGAAGCATCGTGGGGGACAAGAGGTCGGAGGCGAGGCACCTTTTGACTTGTTGGGAGGAGCCAGCTTGTGCGATGTGACCTCCTGAACACAGAGAGACGAAACACTAGGAGAAGAGTATCATGCACGGAAGACGGAACTTGCGGTATCAATAGGGTATATAGCGGGCTGGTGGTGATGGCCCATTGCTCCTCGTTAGCCGCTGGACTTGAAGGCTGGACGCTGAGTCGCCAGGGCGCACGAGGGGACCCCAGGCCACGCCGGTCCTCTGGCAACCGTCGAATGGTGGCACACGCATGAGAGGCGTCCGAGAATAGCTCGCCCATCCTAGGTGGGTGACGGCAGGAGAGTGGTTGCAGCCGAGATGTGAGTTGAGAGTGTGACGAGGCCATCTACGAGCTGTGGTTGGATGGTTAACCGCCGGGCAATAGAGTGTGGAAGCGGGTGATTGGCGGTCAGTTCCCACTCGCCAACCACCGCACTCCACATGCCTTGACCTCTCTCGCCTCTTGGATCCCGGGAGCCAGGATTGCAAATCGCTCTTGTGCCTGTAAAAGATTTGTCTGTGGTCGGGACTGGTCTGGTCTCTAGCGGAGCGGGGCGGGGCGAGCCACCATCACCACCAGAAGAGAGAGGTGGATGCACGATGGTAGCGAAAATGCAGCTTCTTTAATATCACAAGTAATTCAACATGAGGTGATTAAAGTAGTAAAAGAGATATCACAGCCACATTCATTCTTTAGATCTTACTTCCTACTATTCCTTTTACTATGCCTTACCCAGGAATGCCCCAATGCTTGACCCGCCTGACGTGGACAAAGTTGTTCCAGCTTGATTGTTCCTGGATCTACAATATCCTGCCCTTCAATCATCAGCCATCCCACACCACCATGGCCCAACAGACAATGCGTCCCCTGGTCTAGGGGTCCGTGGGCCTCAAATCGAGGCCCAATTGCCTGCGTCGCCCTCCTTGTCCACACTCTCGGGCCTTGCATGGCGGTGGAGCGTCCCAGCCCAGCTCCTCATCATGTGATGCTTCGGCCTCTTCGAATGAGATGCTCCTCTTTGTGTGACATCACACTGCTCGACATCCCAAGAGCGACGGTTTAGTTGGTCAGATACTCGTCACTGGCGCCTATCGTCTAGAGTCGCACTATTATCGCACGACTAGAGCTTCACGCTACCCTCGGGGAAGGGGTTTGGTGATTTGGTTGGTGATCTCACATTAGCTCCGTGACCATCACAATTCAGCCAACTCCATAATTCACATCATATCGCTCAGTGCTCGAGGAGAATGCGGTGAATGGTGAATGTGATGCCGAAGTCCGGAAGCGAGGAGCACGCAGCTTGTGTATGGTTACAATGATGCAGATCGCGCCGTGATATCTCGAGTTAGTGACTGTGATAGTGACTGACGACGGCAGCAATGTGACGGGTGATCTGATATCACTCTCGGTAGGAACATGTCGGCAGAGTTAGTACTCGAGCGACGGATCTTTGAGGATTTTGTTTTCAGCTAAGCATCGGTTAGAACTTCGGTCGTGATGGAGGAAGCTTGGCAAGGCCTCCTCATTCATTAAGCACTTCACTTGGGGGATCTATTTTACACAGGAATTTGACAAAGTTTAAACCCATAAACCGTATTACAGGAATGACCCAAGGTTAGTATAATGAAGTGTGATGCCGTCAAATTCCAAGTGCACTTTCAGCCGCTTTCCTCTTGCGGTGAGAAGAGGCTTGTTACCCTGCACCAACACAGAGATTGAAGGTCACATGACATCGCGAGGCTCCCCTTCGCGTCGCGAAATGGAATTGGCCATTAACGCGCCCGTCATGCTCCCCAAATCGATACGATACTGAAGCCGGCGATTGTCCTGGCTTACACACCCGAGTATTCGGCCACGGCACGAACCGAAAGAACCTTCGATGATAAACCATCCATCGAGAAACGAACCCCAACGCGTGGACCCGTCCACGTCCTCAGCATGGCAGCTTCGAACAACGAAGATGCGATCCTTCGGTCGCTGAACCAGGCACAACGCCGTGCCGTGACATCCTCAGCATCCACCGTTGCTATCCTGGCTGGACCGGGCAGTGGAAAAACACATACCCTCACATCCCGGGTAGTATGGCTCGTCCAGCGTGTTGGCTACCGTCCCTCGGACGTGATTGTCGCCACTTTCACCGTGAAAGCAGCCCGAGAAATGAAGGATCGAATTGGAAAGGCCCTGGGCGAGGAATGCGAAAAGAAGATTGTGCTAGGAACGTTTCACTCGATCGCTCGTCGATATCTATCAATATACGGAAATCGCATTGGACTGGACTCGAAATTCGGCATTGCGGATGACGGAGACTCCAAGGCAATCATCCAGAGAATCTGCAAAAGGCTTGAACTCGGCATTGAGCCACTTGCAGCCAAGTCCTGGATCAGTAAGGAAAAGGCAAGAGGGCCAAATGCTGCCCCATCACAAGGGACGAAAAAGCGCCCAGAAAATCCGGCGCTGAGGACATGTTATGAAGAGTACCAGATCCAACTCAAACGATCGAATTTACTGGATTACGACGACCTCTTGGTAAAATGTGTCGAGTTGTTGAGAGATCACCCGGCCTGTGTTTCCAACGTTCAAGCGGTTCTCATCGACGAGTATCAAGACACCAACGGCATCCAATATGAGTTGATGAAGCTGTTCGCCCAAGCCAACCATCGAATCACGATTGTGGGTGACCCCGACCAGAGTATCTACGGTTGGCGTTCTGCCGAGATTCGAAATCTCTACCGCCTATTACGAGATTACCCCGACACGGACGAGGTGTCGCTGGAGGAGAATTACCGATCGTCGCAATCCATCCTCGATGTATCGCTCAACGTCATCCAGCAAGACAAGAAGCGATATCAAAAAGTTCTACTGCCGGTTCACACTAAGGGTGCGCGACCTGTCCTCAGAACCCTAAAGAGCTCAGCTGCGGAAGGCGAATGGATCGTCTCTGAGCTCAAACGAGCAGTCATGATGTTTGGAGGGATGCTCAAGTACGAAGATGTGGCAATCCTCCTGAGGTCAGCTGCTCTCTCAAGACACACCGAATCTGCCCTGGGAAAAGCTGGCATCGCGTATCGAATGATTGGAGGACACAAGTTTTACGAGCGGAAGGAGATCAAAGTGCTACTGGATTATCTGCGCGTGGTGAGCCAGCCAGAAAACAACGATGCGCTGGCGAGAATCATCAATGTACCACGACGAGGTATAGGTGAGGCAACAATCAAGTCTCTCCTCGAAGAAGCAGAAAAAGCCAACATGAGTCTCTGGACATTGATATTGAAGCATTGCAGGGGCACGCGAAAAGCAACCACCAATATCCGGCAGAAGATGGAACAGAAGCTCAACACAGAGCTGATCAGAGTCATATCAACTGTCAAAAAACAAGCAGATGGAATCACCCAGAGCAGCCCCGCCACCCTAGTCGATCTGATTGAGCAGCTGATCACACAGCTCAACTTCAAGAAGTACTTGGAGGAAGAATACGCCGAAGACCATGAACAGAGATGGGCCAACGTTCAAGAGTTTGTCAACTTGGTGAGCGATTTCATGAGGGATTTCGGGTCGATCGACGAGGATGCACTTCCTGAGATCGAGAACCTAGACCAGGTGAAGGTGGACGACATGCTTGGCCGGTTCCTGGCCAACGTCTCATTGGCATCAGACGCACAGAAAAATGACGGATCGAAAGACCAGAAATCCGTGGTTACAATCTCGACAATCCACGCGGCAAAAGGACTGGAATGGCCTGTTGTCTTTGTCCCCTCAGTCTACACTGGGTCGATACCCCATGCTCGGTCCGAAGACACTGATGAGGAACGACGACTGCTGTATGTGGCCATGACCCGTGCCCAAGCTCTGCTGTACCTCAGCTGCCCCCTCTATGGCTCGCAGGGGATGAGTAGCAAGGTTGAGCTCTCGCCATTTGTTTCACCATTCGCTTCAAAAGCCTTTGCGAAGCAAGGGCCGTCGTTTGACAGACGTGTTATCGAAAGTGCTGCCAAGATCCTTGGAAGAGAGACACCGGCCGAAAAGGCGATTTTCGCCAAGCTGCCTCCCATGTTCTCACCAGAAGACGATGCTTTCCCCGTTGACCCTGTCGACCCTAAGAACGTAGATGGACATGAAGAGGATTCTGGTCGTCATTATTCTCGTGCTCCAAAACGGCAACGCACGTCGCTACCGAATGACTCTTACGACGAGACTGAAGAACTCCCATGGCAGAGGGAATACACGACAACGATGGAGCAATCCGCCGATTTCACAGTTTCCGCTCTTCCAGGATTCACAACCGCCGGAGCGCACAAAGTTGCACTCGACGCTGTAGCGGCAACTAAAGCTCAACAACAGACTTCAAAGCCTGGGCCAAAGAAGGGATCGAATCGACGAGGAACTGGCCAAAAGAGCATGATGAGTTGGTTGAATCAAGGTCCAAATGCACCACGACCACCACCTGAACCACCGCGACAACAGCAGCAGACCAATTCGTTTTCAAAGGTACGCTACGAAGCTGCTCTTGCGCGGCAGAACAGCCTACCGGCAAGACTGCCTACGCAACAACACCAGCAAAAACCCGCTATCGATCCTGAGCTGGCAAAGCACAAACTCACTTCAGCTCGACCGTTACCGAAGCCCGACGTCCCTAAGACAGATGGCGGCCCTCGAAAACCCTATGCCTGCTTCTCCAGTTCACCGCCCCGGCCCCCTTCAAGGGACCAGGCAACAGTCGAAAAAGGCAACGAAGAGCCAACGGCAGCGTCTAACCGGCCAGCCTCAAGCCTCCATGCCACGACGTTCATGTCGGTTAAGCCTCGTGGAGGTGTGAGGCGGCCTGTAGGATTAGGCCCTGCGCCGTCCATGGATCGGCTGCGCAAGCCCTTCAAACCGCTGACGATTAACCGACCGAAGCGTCCGGGTGACTGAAAAGAGTTATGCGTCATGTCAGGAGTTGTTTTGGTTGGTTTTGTGGCGTTGGTGTTGGAAGGGGGTGATTGTCAGCCATAACAGGCGGCCTTACGGTTAAGGATAACGGTGTCGCTACTCAGCGTTATGTCATGCTTAGTATAGATTATGTATATATAGACTCCTATGACCTCTCAAAATGAGCAATTCAACAATCAAACAAGCTTCAAACAAACAGAACAGCTACCTCTTTATTATCATCGACTGTCAATCTTAGACACCCTCATCACCATGTCTGCCACTCTCATCGCCCGGGCTTCATCACCTGTACTTCAGGCCGCCCGAAAGAACTTCTCCACGACCACACCTTTTCTCAAGACTCTGACTTCTGAGGGCGCTCTACCTGCTGCGAGCAGCACAAAGTGGAGGTGGAGCAACCTGTCGCCTCGCACCCGGCGATACATCCTCGTTGGCCTCGCTGTTGGCACCTGTGTCGACACTTATGTCGTTTACAACTACTGGCCTCGCATTTTCGGCTCGGAATAATATGATGATTGGATATCTGGAAGGTGGGGTTGGAATGGTTCAATTGTCATAGGATTGTTAATGATGTTTGCTCTGTCGCGGCTACATAGGACTATTGAGCTGGTTTACTTGGATATATCACCTGTATCATGGACGCTCATTAAGTTATTCACACGCATGTAACCATGAAACACATTGGCCATGTCAATGAAGCGGTATTCTTTCTAGCGCCCTGATAGTGACCATTGCTATTAACAAGTTCATCCTTACCCAGAGCCCGTAGCAATTCCACCTCAAGTGAAAATTATCGCCGAATCCGAATTTCCATTAGTTAGGCAAGTACGGGTGGGTAGGTGGCCGGGGCTGCACTCTAGGAAGGTACCTTACATCCTACCCTTCCTCAACTTCTCCCCCCAACAACACCACTTGTCAACACTAGGTTTCCTTCTTCCATTCCCAAGAAAGGAAAAACACCCAAGAGTCGGAAGAGAATGTGCCTCTCACAACTCGAAGCAACGCAATGAATCAAAGCGGCGATTCTGGGAGTCAGACCTCCTGGGGTGATGCAGGCCCAGGAAGCTCCTTCAAATCGTGGCAGTCTGCCCTCTTCCTAGACGACGAGAACCGGAAATTTCTGGGCAAATTCAAAGACCCAGGAAGGGTAGAAGGAACGGCGGTTTATCTAATCCTTAATGCCAAGCCTGATACAGAGCCCTGGATGGGGTTTTCTATCAGATTTCTTCTCGGTCGAAGCAATGATCATGACGGCTTTGGCATACGCTACCGAGGTGGGCTTTCGCACGTTTCTTGTCACTCAAAATGAAATTCCTAACGAATAACAGCAAATCGAACATATGGAACCCCAACTGCTTTGCGACAATACCGACTTTTTGTCAAGCTCCCTCGTGGGGGTTTCACTTACACGGCCGAGGCTATCCCCAAAGGCCACACCTTACACGGACGAGTCTGGAAGAAGAAAAACGAGTTTACACTACTCAAAGTGTCACTCGAGAAAGGTTCCCACGCAAAGATCGGTGGATACTGTATGCCGTTCGCCTACCCCTACCATATGGCAGACGCGTGGTTCAACGACAATGCGCCCATCGCCGGCACCAAGCCTCTGAGAGAACTTCTCGAGCAAAGGGAATTCACCATCCTTGTCTGCGCAACTCACAAAGAATTAATCTCAAAGTGGCATGAGAACTTTCTCCCGCCCCCTTTCAGCTATCCTTACGGGAGGCAGCATGGTTGGAACATGCATCGGTATCAAGCTATGATCCCATGGACTCAAGGCCACCAGTTCGAGCCAGCGTGGTCATTTCACGATGACAACTCACACTTGGCCGCTCTCACTCAGTCACAAGTCCAGGGCGCTGTGTGGCTTCGCAATTCCGCGGACAGCATCGCCACACTCGAGCTTTCCGCGTTGTTCATGGATGCCGGAATGGACGGATTGGAATCAACATACTATGTCATCGTGCCAATCAACAAACACTACAATACTGACACCAGTTCAGCTTGGGAACATCTCTCTCGGCGCTCAGTTTTACAGCTATGCCTATGTGACGATCCCAAGGCGGTTGAGTGGGAAGCCAGAATTGTGCATCATCCTCATGACACCAACACGATTAAGGCAGCTGGATTTGGGGATTTCTATCTAGTCCTGCTAGCAAGAAATCGAATTTCGGAGGCGACGCTAGACAAAGGGCAGGATGGATAGAATCTCGTCTCTCTTCAGTTTAACGCACCAACAGCAGACTGCGAGCGAAAGGTGGATGCGGTCTGTCAGTTTCACCCCAAAGCGATGCCATCCAACCCTGTGGCTGTTGGCTTACGGACTGACGCGAGCGGTCAACTCCTGCAGGCCATACCGATGGACCTTCAATTGAAGATGAGTTACCATCGAGATCTTCTACGTGGTACTGGCTTCTACTCTACCATGCGTCAACAAGGCACAGGGGTGCTACAAGATGCCAATTACTACCATTGGGCCCTGCCCACAGTTGACATCTTGGATGGTATTGATAGAGCTCACGTTGACGCTATGATGGAGGAGGTGCCCCTGGCTGATCGACCTCGTCTGCGAAATTACCTTGGTAAGAGACCACTCGGGCTCGGCATCATCACTGGAGTAAGTAGTTCTGACGCATGCGGCAGTTTGTTCTGACAGTGAATAGGGACCTGGATGCGGCAAAACGACAGCACTGGCTGTTGGCGCCCTGGCACTAACAAGTAGAGTTGGTAGAGTCTATTGTAGTGCTCCGTCGAATGTGACCGTGGACAACTTTGCCTTTCGACTCGATCAAATCACCTCCAGAATCACCAATCGGTTAAACAACACCAACGAGTCGAACTACGCTGCTCGTACCTATTACAAACTCATTGTGCGAGGCTACAGAGGAGAGGACGAGATTGACGCATTCTTCAGCTTGTTGCAAAGCCCTTACCCTGGGGATCGAGCACTTCCTATTTCTACATGGAAAGAGCCAAGACCATGGAAATTGCATCTATCTTTGGCATTTTGGCTGTTAGCCATCCTTCGCTCTCCTGGAGTTCGAAGCCTTCGAACAAACGATAGCCCGGGTCTTCACCAGATGCGCGAGGATATTGACAAGCGAGAGAAACTTAAACGACTTCGTGCGGTGGCCAAAGGGGATATTAGCTGGCTTGAATACAAATGTGGTGGTGGCCAAGTGTCAGTATCAACGATCGGAGCGTTACTAACTCAGATTCTGTACCATGCCGACATTGTATGCACAACCCCGGCTTTGTCTTGCTCCAAGCAAGATCCTTACATCAACTGGAAGAACGAACTTGCCAAGGGAGTTGCAGTTGATGACGCTGGGAGCATTAATCGCCCTGATCTCTACTCTGTGTGGGGAAACACTCTCCTTCCATGCCTCTTAGCCGGGGATGATTATCAGATCCCTCCAGCTGTCGAAGGGTTCGAAGTGCAGGACAAGAGTCGCAACTACATCAATCGCCTGGGACAAGATGGAAAAATATCTCCGCTGGCCTTTCTTGAAGCGAGTGGCTGGCCAATCCTTCGTCTGAGAACTCAGCTTCGCATGCCCCAGAGTCTATATCAGCTGTGTCAACAAGGGATGTACTTGGAAACCCCTTTACAACACCGTCCCGACAGCGACTTCGAGCACACCGAGTACGAACCTGGCCGAAAGCTTGAACTTTATCTCACCAACACCTACCTGGATTTGACGCGTGTTATTTCCAACAACTTTTATGAGGTGTTTATTCACTGCGATCGGTCGTACTGCCACGTGAATCAAATCACTGGCTCCAAACAGAACCAAGTTCAAGTTCAGGTTGCATTGAGTTTCGTCACTGATTTTGTCACATGTAAGGGAGTAGACCCTTCGGATATAATCATCATTAGCCCGGACAAGGCGAATGTCGATCTTGTAGAGGAGATGCGGAAGGGGTCAGATCACTTGATGCTGCCTGGAATGAAGCCAGCGACAACCATTGAGGATTTCCAAGGTTGCGAGAGCAAGATTGTTGTGGCTATCTTGGGGGTTACGCAAGAAGCTGGCCCCAAGACCCTTGCTGACAACCGGCTCCTGAGTGTGATGCTCAGTCGCTCGACATGTGGCCTGGTTATTGTCGGAGATGTGAATACATTGGACGTGAAGAGCCTAAGCGACGACTTTTCCGGGTATCAGGCAAAGCGTCGCAAGAAGCGTGCGTTTTACGCCCCTTCTTTCATGCTCCGCAAAGTATTGAAAAGGGTGATGGATACAGGGAGAGTCATTCGTCTGTAAGATTGTAGCAGTGGTGACCAAACTCGGGACATGTAAGGAGCGTTTCGCTGATAGAAGATGGGGCACATCACTGTAACTTTTCATACGATTCAACAGATATCAACAGTTTATTGTTCTATAAGTGGAAATAAGACGTCAAGTGTGTGGCAAAAGACGCTGTGTCTCACTTGATGGACTATTCAGGGGCACAGACACGTTAAAACTTGACACGGCAAGATGCTAAATTCCTTATTAAGTCTAGATCTAGGAATTGGCAAATAAAGATTTCGCTACAATTAAAAAGGAATCTTAAAGCCAGAAGCTCGCAGCTTCTGGAAGACGCCCTGGGGATCGTACTTCTTGCTAGCAGCCTGGAGCTTAGACAGGGCCTCAGCGCCAACAGTCGACAGGGGGTCCTGGGTAAGATGGGCGTAGTTGATGAACTTCCAGGGCCACCAGGCATCGAGCTCCTTGGCCTTGGCCTCGAGGTCATCGACGTAGGCCTTAAGGAGAGGGAAGGCAGCCTTTTCGTTGTCCTCTCCGTGGGCAGCCCAGGTGAGGAGGAACATGATACCGTTGCCGTCCTCAGTATACTTGTCGAGACCCATGACGTTTCCACCGTTGGCGACACCCTTTTCGGCGATGGACTTTGTAATAGGCTGGAACATGCAGAGGGTGTTGAGGCCAGAGTCGGCGCTGGGCATGAGCGCCTCAAGGTCCTCGTTGAGCTTGTTGAACTTTTCAACGGCGTAGCTAAGGATCTCGGCGTTGGTCTTGAAGGAGCTCGTGAACCACACGTTGCGGAAGCCAGCGGGCTGACCGGAGCCAAGCTCAAGGGTGACGGTGCTCATCTTGTCAACCTTGGTGGTGTCCTGCTGACGTCCCTCGATGGCGTAGAAGCCGTCGAACGCAGGGGGCTTGATCTTGGCTTTGGTGTTTTCGATGGCGGCGTTGAGGATGGTACCGCCGGCAAGGGCGGGGAGATAAGCCCAGTAGACAATGCTGCTAGAATCCTCGTCGTTCTTGACGTTGTCGGTAAAGTCGAGAAGAGCGTCGATGACGGCGGGACCGGCCTCGGGGGTGTAGAGTAGGTTGCCGCCCCAAATGACGGGGTTGCTGCGGTCCTCAAACTCGATGGGGATCATGTCGATACGGGTGATGAGACCGAAGTTACCGGTGCCACCCTTCATGGCCTGAGTGCAGGGTTAGTATGGGTGATGATGAGATTGAGTCAGGGATGCTTACCTGCCAGAGGTCGGCGTTCTCGTTGGCATTGGCCTCGACGATTTCGCCGTTGGCCAGAACAAGCTGCCAGCCAGCAACAGTGTCGCAAGACATACCCTACGAACTGTGTGAGCTGTTGTCTTGGTAGTCTTTGAGAGTTGGTATCACTTACATGAGAAGCAGAGTGGAACGAGTTACCACCACCAGTAACGAAGCCACCAACACCGACGGTACCAGCGCGTCCACTAGATGGCAAGGGTTAGCTAGGCATTTTGGGGTGAAAAGGAGTCAATTGAACTCACCCAGCGACGACGAGGCCGTGAGGGGCAAGAGTATCATAAACGTCTTGCCAGTGACCACCAGGCTGAACACGGGCGAGGTTCTTTTCAGCATCATACTCGGTGCCGTTCATGTAACCTTCTGCTGTTAGTGACTAGTCGTAAAGGGTTGAGGTATATGAAGTGGGATAGACAAAGAATGATGGAGTATCTCACGTACCAAAGTCAATGGTAATACCATCCTCTATCGAGTTGGAGAGGGCAAAGTTGCCGTGGCCACCACCCCTAATGCCAAAATTGCACTTGTGCTGGGTGATGACCTTCATGATCTTGGAGACATCCTCGGCCGTCTCGGGCAGGGCGATGCAGTCAGGCCGAAGAGCGGCGCTGACGGACCAGTAAGAGTCCATCCGAGCATCGTAGAGTGCCTGGCTTTGGGTGACGACCTTGTTGCGGAGGCCAACTCGGGAGAGAGCAGTACACTGTGGTGATATTTCGTTAGTCATGATGTGTAGTATTGATTGAGAGTTGATGGTGAGAATAGACACGATGTGATATGGATTACAGCAAGCGCCGTGATTAATAACTTTGACGCTGTTACAACGTAGGTTTTACTTACACATCGGTAGCAAGCGTTAGCGGGACTGGCTAAGGCGGTTGTGGCGCCAAAGGCCACTGCTGAGCTGGCAGCAACAAGGATATCAAACTTCATGTTTGGGGTTTAAAGAAAGGATGCCTTGGATCAAGGGCGTGCGGGATTCAAAGGAATGTGATGCTCGACACGTACAGCGTCGCGTTGGGTGAGTGTGGGAGGAGGGCAACGATCTGCAGGTGCTCGATGAGGAGAGTCGTCTTTATTAGAGGGATCTTCTTCCCCTTGGTCTTGAGCTAGACTAACAATAGGAATTGTATTTCCGTCCGGGCATAACATGACGGGCTATGCTGAACGAAAGCGTGCTGGCTCCTCCGATATGGGGACGGAGGATGAGGAGTCCTCAACCTGGCCGTCACAGACCAGTGGGGGACTAGCTGGACTGCGGAACTGGGAGAGAGATTGGAATCTCGGCAAGGACGGAGAGTCCCCAAGGTCCACCAGTGTCATGACATCGATGTCGGGGGGGGAAATGCTCATGAACGCCTGTTGATATAGACTTACCCACTTGGTTCTTCTGGAAATGCTATTAGATCTGCAAGTCTTGATTAACAGCACGTGGGATACACGTGAAGAAGATATTAACGTGACGGAATCAAGTCCGTGATGCAGACGGTGGGATCACACCATTGAGCAGCCACACACTGCTAGAGCTTACTGCCACAGCCTTCAGGAACCGGTTCCTCCTCCGACATCCAAGGCTTCACCAACAGTCAAAGCCCTCTTCAGTGGCGTTTTCCTACGCCCTGACAATCCCCGGCTAGCGTCAAAGCCCGGGGATAACCCCTGTCAATCCGGAAGCAAGTTGACTGTGCCCGGGGGGAGGAGATCCCCTTCGGTTAACTAGGCTAGGCTCCCCACAGATTCACTTCTCAGATTGGGCCTGCTCTGCGAGGGTTGACGAGATCATGGGTAAGCACGAACTACTCCGTACGGGGTAAAAACCCGTCCCATCCTTGAAATAATTGCGCATCCCGCGGCGTCTGGCGCAGGGAAAATTTCCGCTTGATGAGGGGATTTTGTCGTATCCAATGTAACAAAGAGGACCCTTCAAACTCTGTTGCTGTGTGCCTGACATGGATTCAATGCATGCATTAACTCGTTGTCAAAAGTGTTGGTCGTTGTTGGCAAGGGCTCAGCCAACAGGTCATGTGTCAGAATTACTTTCTCGATCCCCCTAATCCACATGATGTGCTGTGTAGTCAATGATCCGCGTCGATCTCTGATGGGTTTGACAACTGACGGATGCTCCAGCATGGAATGTTTTTGACTGCGGCACTGAGTCCCAGCCTTTCCCGTGTCTTCTTCTCCCCTGAAACTTGGGTCTTGTTGGTTGCGCTAAAACAAGACCGACGTAAGGGCCCACATACTCGACGCAGGGATTCTTTGACCAGACGAAACCTGGTTAGACAGGGCATTATGCATCTTTTACTAGCCCTCCCCAGTGAATGGTCGATTGTCGACCTAAGCCCCTGTCATTATCACAATCGCCGCTAAGGAATCAAAATATGGGAAATGGCAAAATGGCACGGGATGTTGGGTCTAAGGACCAACTGACGGAGGAGGCGGACGTTGCGTGCGTGTTCAGCGTTACAAAAGGAATGTGAGGCGTCTGCCAACTCGGACTACATGACATGATCTGGCTGAAGTCGTGTAGATGACTGAGTCGTAAAGGTATGTTTATTAACGAGTTGATTGGGCAGACCAGCTGTGTGGCTCGGGAAGAAGCAACGCCGCAGCATCAACATCTTCGGCATCTCGTTGGTGGGCTTCAATGCAGTCTCGGTACTCCCCCATTTCCCCAGTCCCTGGCTGTTCCAGAAACTCAACCAACCAGTAGGCGGAGAACGGCTGAAGATTGCCTGCTTCCTTCGTGAGACATTCCTTTACCAAGTCGAGACTTAGTACCCGGGCGTTATACGTAGCACCGTGGTGATTACTCCGCACTGCTGCAATCTGGGAGATGCTGCAGGCACGCTAGATTTCAAAAGTCGTGCCATCACGATGACCCCTGACCTGCAGCAGCCGCGCGGGACACAGAAGCCGTCGGGGCCATCGGTTGTCGTGCAGTCTCTGAGCTGTATCATGCGCCTCCAGGTCTTCGAGGGCCCCAGTCCTGGATGGCGGATCCTTGGCACGCGAACCGCTGTTGAGAGCTGAAAGGTTGGGCTGGTAGTTAGCACCAGACGGTGCGTTAGGGGATGCTCGTGTACGCCCATCAGTCACTTTTGATCCCCAGGTCCGAGTGTGTGGGTTTTTGCCAATCTTTGCTTCAACTAGTCCTCCTCTCGCTCTCTTGGGGACATCGTGATCTTTCCCTCTTGACCTGGGTTCTTTTCTCCGAATTTGTCCTGTCATTTCGTTGCTGCCAAGTAATCGACAGAGATTCGTCTTTGGATGCCCAAGACAAACTTCAATTCATCAAGATGCCTACGGTTCAAGGCGTTCCGACGGTTCTGGAACCGCCCAAGGACTACGTGGTTGACTTTGACAACCCGCGGCGGCAGGGAGTCCCAGAGGCCTACTACGTCTCTGGCTTTGGCATGGCCCTGAGTTTCCTGTTTATCGCACAGAGGCTGTACGTCAAGTTCTTCCTTACAGGAGGCGTGCAAGTCGACGATGGTGAGTTTTTCTCGAAAACCTTTCTTGTTATTCAACGCTCTGTTGGTTCGTGCCATTCATCTATTTGCTGGAGCTTTGCGGGTCCGGATTGAGTGCTTGCATCGGGGAGAAAGTGAGATTGGGTCATTGGGATCGACGTGCTGACAATGGGACAGTGCTTCTGATCTTTTCATATGTAAGTACTGCAGATATGCTTGTACAAGCAGTGTTGATGGCTTCAAATTGGTTCAATGGTTGTCAATGGCCACTGGTTGTACATGCCGTCGCCCCTATCCAGCATGATGCACAGCTTCATCCCAACTCCTGGGTAGAGCAACACGCAATGGCTATTGCTGACTTTGCCATTTATAGATCTTGGCTGTTGCGACAATAGCATTATGTCTTCGTGAGTGCCCCTGAGATCTTCAAAGGTAAATAGCTAACCATGCATAGACATGTTTGCAACTGGAGTAGGCGGAGTCCACGCGTGGGAGATATCCGTCACCCAGTTTAACGCCTATCTAATGGTGAGTCAGGACATCACCCCTATATACTCAACTAACACGATGACAGGACGTCTATCTTGCCGCCTTCATCTACATTCTCTGTGGCTCCCTGTCCAAGCTCGCCCTCCTCATCTTCTACCTTCGACTATCTCCCCAGCGCTGGTTCAGGATCGCAACATGGTCCACGATTGTATTCATCGGCGGGTACACGGTCGGCATCTTCTTTGCCTGTATCTTCTCGTGCAAGCCCATCGCCATGAGCTGGGACGTGACCATCACAGACGGCGTCTGCATCAACCGGCCGAGTCTGTACATTGCGACGGCTGTGGCCAACATTATTAGCGACGTTATACTATTTTTCCTGCCGATTCCCATGGTCATCAAGCTTCAGATTCCTCCTCGGCAGAAGATTGGACTGGTCATCATCTTTGGCATTGGGTCTCTGACAGTTGTCACTTCGGTCGTTCGAGTTTCCATTCTGCCAGCTTTGTTGACTGATCCTGATGCGACATGGGTTATTGCCTGGGCGAGTGTATGGATGTAAGTGATCCCTAGGACTCCTTGGGTTCGGTGCATGGCAGCAGTAACTGACTTGAGTGTAGTATCGTCGAAGCCAACCTCATCATAACCTGTGCTTCCATGCCGACACTTCGAAAGTTTTTCAAGCACGTCGCCCCCAAGCTCATTGGAGAGTCTCGATACGGCAGCAAGACAGGAAAGTCTGGAAAATCCGGCGAGAACTCGAAGCCCCCGACCCGACCCCTCGCACCGACATCACAGAGCCGACGAGACCGACATCAATACTCGCAGTTCGATGCAGGAGAAGGCCAGGGATCAGAAGAGTTCGTGCTTGGGCCGATAAAGGGACGGACAGATCCGAGAGTCACTGCTGGGCATAGTGAAGATCATGTCGGCTGGGGAGACAGCGACTCGGAAAAGGGGATCGTTGATGGTACGAGCAAGCCTGCGATCATGCAAACAACGACGGTGACTGTGGAATACACCAATGATCGGCTATGAAGGAGTGGGAAAACATTAGAAGTACGGTTGTCTCAGGACTGTGTATGATATGAAGGCGGCAATTTGGCCTGGAAAGGGCTTTGGGATACCCTGCAGGAGTTGGATGTTCAATTAAAGTATAGTCTTTACAAGTTGGCATAGATAATAATTGTATTACTCTGCGTCAGTTTTGACAGTCATTGGTCCAACGCTCAAACCGAACTCCAGCTGGCAGAGAGATGCGCGGCAAGTGAATTGTTGAGGATAACATAGATTGCTCTTCTAACTTGGGGCTTGTTTCCCTTGGAAATATATGTTGATCTTCAAGGTGAAACCTGGCACTTGGCTGTTATTGAAGCTCAAGTGGTCTATGATGCTTCGATCAGTGTTTTTTAGGGCGACACTTCTGGGTAGACACCTGCGTGGAGTTTTGAGAGACGGTCCGCTTTCATCTGGCCACTATTGCATGATGCTGCCTGTTACTTTGCTTTTTCAATAATATCACGGCGCGGATTTAGAGAATATCAGGATGCTCAATGTCTTTATCCTGGGTTATGAAGAGACCCTTTTCCCTGCTGTTAATTGATCAGTTCTTTGCCACGTTCCAAATCAACACATAGAAATGAACCACCCACCGAGAGAAACATAAGAATCGACACAGTGAAGCTATTAAAATATGCCCTTCAACTTGATAGTATATCTCATATGCCTTGAAGATATATCGCATGTTAACTCGGCGTATTAACAGGCATTATTTAACTAAGCCAGGCCTCGCAGGAGCGACCAACCTACTCTTTGTTCAAGCAAAGGTCATAATACCACCAAAAATAACAATAAAAACATGTAGAACTACCAAATTACTTGAATAAAAAGTGAGAAAAAAAGGCAAAAAGAAATCCCCGAGACCTGGCTCGAACAGGTGGCCTTTCGGTAAGATGCGAGATCAATTACAGCCGAACGCTCTTCCAGCTGAGCTACTCGGGGAGGAGCAGCTATCGCAAGATAGGGTGATTGACGACTTGGGCTCTCAGAACAGCCTTATGTTGAAGACATTTTTTTTGGACATATTTCATCCTTGCTGAACACTCCAATTCCTCCAACTTCATTGCATCAATGGGCTCTGATCGTCATTACGTGTTCTGCTAGAACCATTAGTCACCTGGGTATGTCATATTTCCACATGATGAGGAAAAATTGCGATCATCAAAGCTGCACTCTTTGCTTGAACCACAATGAAATGTCATCCCCTGAATAACCTGAATGAGACTTACTACGTAGTACAGCCACGTAATGGCCCTGTTCAATCATGGGATTTCTCAATTCACCATGTCACGTCAAAAAAATCGAGCTGCCAACAATCGACTAGTTGATCGTCACGTCGCATTCTGGAGAAAATGATGCGCGACCGGCTCTGTCTCACTGTTTGGGGCTGAGTGCTAAGTGGATATTTCAACGTTGCAAGGCGGGGGGGTTCTTTGATGGGGACTGACGGTGATCCTCTAAAGGGATCCGCGGACCGATAGCTTAGTTTAGGGCCGGTTGCGTCGATCATGAGATCCACAGGGAGACCGACTTGACAGAGAAGGAGGTTGATGAGAGATGGACATGAACGGCTGAATGCGAGTAATTATTGCCATGTCGTCTGTTATAGTGATCAGCTTAATATGGCATGGATAGCTCTGGTTCCTGTAACAATAGAACAGACAGTGGAAAGTGTTTCTGACTGGATCAAGTTGAGCACAGTATGATCAGTACAGGCAAATATGATGGGCCTGCAACTGTTCCAGAAATATCTTGAAACGATTGACGCAAGGTTTGTTACAGCACAGTGCAATAGTCAGTGGTCATCGATAACCTTTGTGATACAATGGCACAGCCACAGAGACAACACACATGCAAAGCATCGTGGCAAGTATCTTGAAGGATCATCAATGTCCATCGGGGTATTTTTATCTAACTCGTCGCTAATATCTGACATGTGCTACAATAACCTCAAGCCCAAGCCTCCTTGATCAGGTCAGCCGCCTTCTCGCCGATCCCATAAGCAGGCATCTGCGTGTGCCCGTTGTTGACGGTAGGCATAATGGAACAATCAGCCACTCGAAGGTTCTTGACTCCTCGGACTCTAAGCTTCTCATCGACCACCACCTTAGGATCGTCAGCCTTTCCAGCGGCGCAAGTTCCGCTGGCGTGGTAGCAGGTCGTGGCGCCGTTCTTGACGTATTCCTTCCAGTCATCGCGTGTCTTGTACTTGTGGTGCGTCAGGGCTGGTGGCCAGGCACCCTTGACGATGTCCTTGGTGCCGGAACCCTCCATGACGATCTCGTTGCCAAAGGCGCAGGCTTCGGCGAGGACTTCGAGGTCTAGGGGGTCGGACAGGTAGTTGCAGTCAACCACAGGGACAGCTGTGGCCTCTGAGTTGCGAAGAGTGACGGATCCTCGTGACTTGGGGGCAAACAGCTCGGCAATGATACTGAAAGCATGCTTGTTGTCAACAGGGAACTGGTCAAACTGCTTGGGTCCACCGTAGCACTCTGTCGTGAAGAACTCAACGTGAGGCTGCTTTGATGTCAGGCCCATGGGGTCTCGACCCTCCTTGCGGGGAGCCGACTTCCAAATCTCAGAGTCGGCGAGACGCTCATCGAGACGGGCAAAGGCAAAGATGCCAAAGGGGAATGTGGAGAGGAAGCCGGACTTTTGTTCCTTCCACTGGGCGTAGGACTTGGTGAAGGCGTCACCGTGGTAGACGAGGTGGTCAGTGGTTAGGCCCTCCTTTTCAGTCTCGTAAAATATGAAGACGATCAAATGATCCTGGAGGTTCTTGCCAACACCAGGGAGATCGACAAGGGTATCAATGCCATGCTTGGCCAGCTCCTCCTTGGCACCGATGCCAGACCGGTTGAGGATGTTGGGAGAGCAGTAGGCACCTCCGCTGACAATGACCTCCTTGCGCGCCTTGAGCTCAATAGCGGTACCATCAGCCTGAACAACACGGACGCCAGCGGCCTTGAGGTCTCCATTCTCATCCTTCTCGATGATGACCTTGTCCACATGGGTCTCGACCATTAGATGGAGGTTCTCCTTAGGCTTAGCCTTGGTAATGAAGTCTGCACCGGTGGTTCGAAGACCACTGTACACAGTTCTCACAGAGTGACCGCATCCATGGGGGTTGTTTCCATGTGAGAACATGTCATGGTCGAGCGGGAGACCCTTGGACACCATCGAGTCCCTGATGAGGTTGGAGATGGGAGCCAGGTCATGGGGCTCAGTATGAAGATGACCATCATGGCCATGAGAATCCTTGGATTCGGTGAACCAAGGCTTGGAGTGAAAGTTTTCAGCCTATAGATGTCTTGTTAGTCATTACTGTAAAAAGCAAAAATGTTTCGACGTGGAAATTGCAGATTTGACAGATCCGAACCGACGGATCGGGACAAAGCAAGCAATGAAAAGAAATTATACAAGTTTATGCGTGTGAGAAATTACACACGTACCTTGCGCATGTACTTGAAGAACTCGTCGCCGCTCCAGCCGGGGAGGTTCCAATCATCGTAGTCTTGTTTCTACAGGGGATTAGCACATGCAACAGACGAAAGCCGAGGTCAAAGACTCACTGTTCCCTTGACAATCAGGGTACCGTTGCAGCCAGAGCAGCCACCCAGAAACTTGCCCCTGCTAAGCTTTACCTGACGGCCGTTGACACCAGCGCCCTCTGTGGAAATGACGTTCCAGTCCGTCTCCTTGTCAAAGTTCTGTGACCATCTAAAGAGGGTTAGGGTTGAAGATGTGAAGGTCAATGGATTGTCTTACCCTCCAACCATGTGGACATTTTCGAGATTCTCATTGTGAGGACCGGCCTCAATGACGAGAACCTTGGCATTGGGATCCTCGGCGAGTCGAGATGCCACCACGCAGCCGGAAGTTCCGCCACTATAGTACGGAACGAGATTGATTAGCGGGACGGCTCTTTACAGTGCCGATCATTAACGGTGTTGACATACCCGCAGACAATAAAGTCATATGCCGAGTCAGGAGCCATGGTGCGTTTCGTGGAGATGTGTGTATGTGTCTTGGGTAGAGTAGTACTAATGATGAATGATTCCAACTTCTCCAACGCTGCGCCCTCACATCTCTTATAGGGGTCTCCCCGTCCAACGTTTCTGCCTCAAGCAACCCAGTGCGACACAAACCCGAGCACAGCCCATCTGGCCACCATTAAGATGAAGATCCTCTTAAACGGTCCGTCCCCTAGTGTACTGTACGGTTGCAACGCTTCCCTCGTCACACCTGTAACACGCCAACTTCTAAGCCACCACAGGAAGCATTCAAGGGGGGTTCGAGAAGCATAAACTCGGATCCATCGCCACAGGTGTTGTTCGCCTCAAAGAAGAGCTCACCCCAGGTTTGTGCGTCTTTTGAGCGTCCAATCGGAGACGATGCGTGCCTCTTCACCATTAGCGTCGTAATGTGTTGGTCGTAGATCTGAGGCGCCGCCCCCAGAAAGAAGGGGGGTTTGCGACGGGGAACCCGCCCCTTAACGGAAGCAACCCGAGACGCACCGAGGTTAGACGGGGTAAAAGATTTTGTGCCTGCGACTCTGCAGCTCCCAGAATGGATATGGTGATGGTTGTCCAAGAGACTAAGACCGACGCTGCATCAAAAGCGCGCGGACAGGGTTGCTAGCTAGCGTGGAACTCCCGCGTCGATCATTGAAGAAAAGCTGACTTTCTTTGACACATCCGTGGGTCTTGATGGCTTGCTAGCACCCCAAAGAGGTATTGGCGTCGTGTGTTAGTTGCATGGCTAGTAAGTCACGTCTCTCGTTGACAAGACTCATGGCAGAGACTCGCACTGACTGTGATCTCTCACTATGCACAGACACTTTGCCTGTTTTCAATCTGGCTTCTCAGCTTCAGGGTCCAAGCGAGCGAAGAGAAAAAAAGGTGGATCTATATGTTGGAGACTACATCCCTGACCCCTTCTCCTCCACAGCCCGGCATACGCAGGAGAGGGGGACGCGCCGGCAGAAGCAATATGGCCTGACTTACACCCCTCCCCGTTGTCAAAGCGTTTCTGTAGATGTGATATCAGACCCAGCATGAACATAACAATGTTCTAAACGCTGGCGGCCAACCTCTTGGCCTCTTCCAGGGGGTAGACGATGCAACCCTAGCATGACATGCCGGCTAGATGACACCGAGCACGACTCGGGTTTGCTTCGAAACCGCTGGCAGAGAGTGAAAGCCAACAGTCTAGCTCGGCATCAGGGTGCCAGGTTGTTTACCATGACCCACCGGGCCACGGTCCGCACCAAGTTATGCTAACGGCGCCATCATGGTCAAATCTTGAAGGATCAATGCCCTTTCTACTACGTGGTGCTCTTGAGTGTAAAGAAAAAAGCTGTTGGCTCTTCCTCTTGGCCCATATCTTCCTCGTCCTTCCCTGCCGCTTGCATTGAGCGTCATCTGCACCCTCGTCTCACCTTGCTTCTAGGCTCCACGATCCTTCCACAACTACTTTCTTTTTTCCCAAGAAGATGCCTACACCCTTTCAGACAGAAGCGTGGACAGAATACGGTCTTGGCTCTGCTGTGCTCTTCCTTCGATACTTTGCACGATGGAGGACAGTCGGCTGGAAGGGTATGCAGGGCGATGACTACTTTGCCTTTGCATCCCTCGTCTTCTGGACAGTAAGTGGGCTGCATAACTACGCCTACTCTGACGCTTTGTCACTAACTAGTGTAGGCTGAACTTGTCATGCTGGAGCTGATCGGTAGGCACTTTGCGACTCTGTGTTGGTTCGTTAGCTGATCCCTTTTTCTTTTGACAGGCCAGAACGGAACCAACATTGGTGTTACCGACGAAATGGGCGCCAAGATGACGGACGCACAAATAGCAAAGCTGGAGTTTGGATCGAAGTGTCTGCTGGCGGGCTGGAACTTTTATGTTACGCTCATTTTTTGCTTGAAGGGAGTCATGCTCTGCTTCTACAGCCGAATGACGTACGCAACTCGCCCCTTTTGAAAGGCCCAGGTACTAATGTTTGCAGGCTTGGCTTATGGCAGAGAAAGGTTGTCATTTGGACACAGGTATGTCAAGTCAGTTCCACCTCTGCTTCACAATAACTAACACAAGTCATCAACAGGTTGGCACCGTTCTCGCATACTTCGGCGTCATCACCGTCATCTGGGCTCATTGCACGCCCGTTCACAAGAATTGGCAGGTGTATCCAAACCCAGGAGGTCAGAATCTACACAAGCAACACTCAATTTCGGCTCTGACTGGCAATAGATGCGTGTACTTTGGCTGTCGCCAACTATCTTACCCTGGTGGTACTCAACATTGCGTGAGTAGTAATATTCCAGGAGTTGGTAGCCGTTTACTGATGAACAGCAGAACCGATCTAGTCATTGTCTCGATCCCGGTGCCTCTACTCTGGACGGTAAAGCTCAGCATTAAGCGGAAGCTCATAATTGGAGTTCTTCTCTGCTCAGGCGTTTTCATCATGATAGCAACTCTACTCCGCTGCGTCCTGTCTCTTCGGTACAACTCCTCTCCCGTTCGACTATCATACACTCTATCTAACCAATCTCTACAGAGATATCCAGGGCATCAACACGTCCACCATCTGGGCCATCCGAGAAACATTCGTCGGCATCATCGCAGTCAACGCCGCCGCAATCAAGCCCCTCTTCTCAGCCTCCAGATGGCTCATCTCCAGCAAGGGAAGCAGCCGCGACAAGGGAACGAGCAGCTACATCAACAAATACGGACACCCACTGGGCACAATCGGCGGATCAGGCATCGCAGCCGGTCTCTCATCGAGTCGTCACCAAAAGATGATGACCAAGCTAGACGACAACTCGAGCGAAGAGCATATTGTGGGAAAGGCAGACTTTGGAGGATACAAGCATGATATCCGAGCTGGGAGCACGACGAGCGGGCAGAGCAGCACCGGGCCAGACGGCATCGTTGTTACCCGGACGTACGAGGTGACTCCTGGCAAGTCGACCTTGGATGTTTAATTTGGAATCATTGGGACTTGGGATGGAGTTTGTGGAATAAAAGGATAAACAACTATACCTGGACTGGACTGGAATGGGTGGAATGGATGGAATGGAATGGAATGGGATCTGTATTATAACTAACAAACTAATTAGACTACGTCGCCATTGATGGCATTTTCTAGCAATCTAGACGAGCCAACATACAACGAATGTATACTGCCACTGCTGGACCATACCCGGAGTTGGTCCTGTTACTCCTTCAAAGCCCGTCGAGTGCAACCCATGCCCGAGTGACGCAAGCTCAATGCGGAACCGCATCTTGGCGAAACAATCCTTCAAAAGCCAGATAACAGCGCCTCAATCACCACGTGCAGAGCCTCAAAGGACGCCGTCGCCGTTGAACCATGAACTAAAACGCCGGGGGGCGTGCCTTATCATCAACCACGGTAGAAGCAAAGCGTGATAGAGCTAGCTGACGACTGATGGGAACATCAGAGCTAAGGGGCGCTTCCGCAGCTAGCAGCCCTAGAGGAGGCTGAGCCCCATCGTTTCTGTTCTAGCTGGGGGGTTTGTGTCTTGGAAGACAAGACCTATTCCCGGCGTTTCTCTTACGCGCCAGAATAGAACAGCCCTGTCTATATTGGCGCGAGCTTTTTTCTGTGTCTCGGGGGAGTTGGTTCTTGGCTCTGACAAAAGATTCCACCCGGTTAGTCATCCGCGGCTTGCTCGAGGTTACATCGGCCCCTGATCAACAAGTGACGAGAAACATAGAGACGGGGATCTTCCGTCTCGGGTCTCGGCTTCGAAACCCACGTGTAGCCTGTTGGTGACAGACCTTCTCGGCCCAACACTGAAGGTGCCTTGCATATCTCGCTCCCAGTGGCCCACGCGTCTCTGGAGCGTTAGGGTTGCAGTGTTACAACGTTCAAGGAGATCACATTTCCTCATCGCTGCATAAGGGGGCCATTATTATTATCAACAAGCTCATCTCCTTTCATCCGGAGGTTCAGGAGGTTTCCCAGAACGAACCGTGGCACCTTGAGGGTTTACGTCAGTTCCTCATTCTCGACGTCAACAGCACTTCCAGGAACCTAAATTAATTAACAGACGCCTCAAGCTGCCATATCCGCATTAGAAATCCAGAGTCTCGGGTACATCCCGCCAACAAGGTCGCTTGATAGACACGATCGGCCTTGAAAGATTGAGCAACCCTTGCTAGAGCTTACGGTGTCTGAATCATGGCTCTGCAGGGCTCGCAGAGAGCATCTTCCAGCGTCGCTAGTGTTGCATGCAGATGAGCCGCATGCTAACGCACTCTAACGCGTTCCTTCGTCTGTTCTGTCGGTGTCTGCCTGAGGCTTGATGTCGTTGGCGGCGACGGTCCTTGGCTCGTGGTCGGTTCAGGTATGCTTGAGAGTCCTGGAGTTCTGCGTCTACTAGTGGGTGTTGTCCAGCACGGACAAATTGGGAATTGACAAGTAAAACGCCTTCTTGGTGAGTTTTTAACTGCCTTCTAGCCATTCGGTAGCATTGAGTTGTTCGCTAGTTTGCAACGTCGATGATCCTTGATACGAATCTATCGAGTAGGTTAACTACTTTCCATTCTCTGACTCCTGACAATAACAATTGCACCATTTAATTCCAGAGAGAGGCTTCAAGAAGAAATGTTATGATATCGGGGCGAAATTGTTTTTTGTCAATCGTCATGTATCAGTTTCGCTACTCAACAACTCTGGGTAGTGATCGTGAATTGTCACAGTATTCATATGCAATCCGTTTCTGGCAATGATAGACGTAAGGAATGAGGTGAAATTTATCTTTTATATGCCCCATCCCATCTCGGCAGATACTATCTAATCGCCAGGGTTCCCAAAGTTAGAGTTGTCAACATCGTACGAGCATCCAGCCACCTCTGAGATCTCAAAATGGAAGATCGTGGGGTATAGATTAAAGCACTGGCATGCTTAAGCGAGTTCATGGGAAATGGCGTGATCGATGAAAAAGAAAAGAAAAAAAATACCGGGTGAGATCAATCTCTGGTTATCGAGGTCGATGAGGCGGGTGATGATGTCGCATTTGCTGGCACGGTCGAGCCTCGGCACAGTTGTCTACCAAAGATAAACTCATGACTTCAGTGCAGGACACTCTTCTACGATGTAGCGACCCCACATCTGGTATTGAAGAACAGGCAAGGATTCCGGTTGCTTAATGAGTTAACTTTGCTACATCTTGTTACTGCAAAACATGCTCTCATAACTCGCCGTGGGATAAGTGACCTGAAGGCGGCTCTCCTCTTTTGGGTACCCAATGGCACTCCGTTCCCTTCCAATTAATCAGTTCATCTCACTCTGTATCAGTTAATAAACGTCAAATATGAGTAGTTTTAGTGGCATGTTCCTTCTTGATGCCTTCATCTGTGGTCTCGTTGTTTTAACGCGGACAGGAGACGGGACTGAAGCGCACAGTTGAGCGAGCATGGAATAGACCCCGATACCCAATCGCTATGTTGTAACTATGAATGCAGTTCCAGTATGTCTTGCTGCAATGTGGTTTTCCAAGACCTCACTGCCCACAACTGGTCCCAAAACAGGGGCGTCTGGTCCTTTATAAGCGACCACTCACTCCAACAACAGAAACATAGGGTGATTGTTACAACTCACTCAAGTTAGTAGCTTTACTATGCAATATATAAATGCGGTCTGGACACCAGTGATTTTTATCAAGAAGAATGAGCCTGGGAGTTGGTACATAAAGCTCGGATTTGTTAAAGCCTCCCTCCCCAACTGGCTGCGAACAACGTCAAATCAATAATCATAAAGGATATAGACACGTCACTACCGAGAGAATATATTTGCGGTTATTAATTGGTGACTATTAATAGCCTGTCTCCTAGAATGGTCAAGATTTTGAGTGGTTGCAGATTCTCGAAGGGATCGTTGAGACCGTGGACCTGGGCCGGCTCTGTGGCTTGCCTTCACCCCTTGGTTTATCTACTAACAAAGAACAGAGTCATATTATGTGCTTCGAGGACTTATCTGACTATATAATTCATTGTCAAGCCGCCACATCACTCGAGATTTTTATTAACCTCATTGTGTCAGGTGGGACTTTGCTCATCACATATGACATCTCTTTAGATTGACCACATCATCTTGCGTAAAACGAATTCTCGAATGGAATGAATTGCTTATTTATCGACACAAAGCGTTTTATCCTGTTCGATAAAGCCATGGGTCGGGCCGGCTACTATTTCGTCAAGGCCCGTAGCAGTGCTCCGGATGGTGTGCCACCACAGTCTACTAAGTTACAACAAATAAACAGCCAGATCAAACCCTGACAAAGCTTAATAATATTCATAAAATATAGATTTATCTTACTCCTAGAGTGGCACGAGAAACGAGAGATGGAGTCCCGGGAATGGAGATTTGGTCCAGATAATCCCACCAGTCCGATATACCCTGTACACCTGGGTCTCTTGAAGCCGTGCCCCCTTCGAGGCCCTTCTAGAACTCTTACAATCTAGCCAATCACTCACATATGTGCCTTATATGACATCAGATGAGAGCTAGTGATGAACCGGGGGGTTCGGGGGAGTTGTCGCCGAGTCATTGCCTATCTCACAGGGGTCCTTTCGACCTGTCGGCGAGGGGCTTCCTTTTTTAGAATCATGACATCTCAAGGGTAGATATGGTGATTGTAGAATAATTTCTCTGCTTATAACTATCTGTACTTATGGGTGCTCTAAGTTCATTCAACATCGAGATCATCAACAAGACATCTCTTGGCGGCATCTCCTGCAGTAGGAGAGGCGTTGCTAATTCTGCAGACTCAATTGACTCCGTCTCACAGTATGTATTCTTAGATTTCAGTGTCACTTGCGCCATTACCATGGGAACTCTATGGTTCACTCGTTGAGATGTAGTAGCAATTGTCCATGATTACGGCAAGTGATGAGCTGCAGATTTCACTAGTGTCATGTCACAATTGAGATACCGTATAGTGCCGTTAAGTACTGTTCATCTATTATTCTCTAGCTCTTGCTGTTTATAACGCTTAATCCATTTTATCTATTCCCTTACAGCTTAGCAGCCTCAATGCGGCGGCCCGTCTCGTCAAAGTTGATCTTCTGGCCCGAGTTGAGCGACTCCTGGAGGGCACATCCGATCTTGACAGCCTGGACAGCACCGCTCAGCTTGAAGGGCAGGCGGTTGTTGTCGAGACAGGCAGCGGTGAACTCATTGGCCTCGGTGACAAAGGCGTGCTCGAATCGACCGTAGTAGTCACCGGGGATCTGTCGCCGCACACCGGCGGCCTCGTGCATCTCGACGAGTGTGCCTACGGGGTTGGCGTTGATGGCAAGCTTGCCCTCGGTGCCGATCACCTCGGTCATGTCGTGCTGGCCGGCGGCCATCATGCGAGAAGAGTAGAAGTAGGCAACCTTGCCTCCCCAGAACTCAACGATGCCCACGCCGTTGTCCACATCCTTGTGCTTGCGCAGCTCGGGCTGCACCGCTGTGATACCAGTAGCCACGACGCTCTTGACGATAGAGTCCTGGCCAAAGTACCACAGAGCGAGATCGATGTCGTGGATGTTGCAGTCGACAAAGATGCCGCCGCTGAACTCGGCGTAGGCCACGAAGAAGCCAGAAGGGTCGAGCTTGTCGCAGGTCTGAGAGCGGAAGACGGAGGGGCGGCCAATGGCGCCAGCGTCCATT